ATATGTTCCACACGGTTCAGATTCATGCTGTTGAACTTTTGGAGTGAAACCTAAAGATAACAGCAATAATGTGGAGTCGACTTGGACTGAAAGGAATGGAGACTTGACTTAGATTTGCCTGGGATTGGAGCACAGAGGACTTGAGACTAAACTGGGACTTGTCTAGCCAATCATAGCGCGAATTTACCAGACTATGTCATACACAGTTAGCTTGATGTCTCTAAATAACAGTTGAACACTTGAACACCATTTTATACCTTTGGGAATGTTGGTATATGCATTAAATATGCCCGCCACTCTTGTATTGCTTTACCTGGCACACAAGATTGCTTAGCTCTAAAAAAAGAACAAAAATCACTCAACAAGCTCACCAGTTAACACTTTAGCCATCTGGTTTACCTTACAAAAAACGAAGGGATGAAAATAGCATCTGATGGGGGGTTAGGTGCTAACTCACAAATCTCACATCTGAAAAACAGCTGTTTAAGAAAAAGCTTCAAAGTGCTTGAGGGATCATTTTTGCACAAGATCCAGAAAATGGACCTATTTTCTCATTTTCAGTCTTTTTCAGCCATGCCAAGGTTAACTAGGTGATTACTTAATTTTCGGTTTAACAATCAAGCTGCTTTATTCTTGATTTGCATGTAACGTGTCAATTTTCTTTACATCTCATATTCACGTCTTAACTTAACACTTCATTTTCCCTGAATTCACAAATTTCATAATGATGCAGCCGTATGACGTAGATTCCTTTTCGTGCAAATGGGACAAAGGTTCACCTTTAGGCTATTAGCAGTCTGAGAAATTACTGCAGAAAATTATTGAGTATCTTTCCAGTAAAATAAAAAAAAATGCTTAAGTCAAGTCACAATGTAAAGCTTTACTTCAAGTGATGCTTCTCTACTTTTGAAACAGGCTGCATTTTCTCGCCACCTTTAGGCGACTCTTTTGAAAGCACTCAACATGTTCATTGAGCTCTGCAGGAACACATTTGCCCTGCAGAAATGAACTATGTATATGTCTACTGGACCAGTCATTTTATTTATAAATGAGATTATGGAGCCACATCTGATCCTCCTAACCTCCATCACACCCCTCACCCATCCATGACTCCTCCGCCTTGTTTGGACATCACAATGATGGTCTTTGGTTTCCTTCTTGGCACCCTGCTCACGTACCACTCAGTCTGTGCCCTCCATGTGCCCCTGCTGGGCTGGCATCAACACACATGCACGCAGGCACACACGCACGCACGCACTTTCTAATGGGGATTAAGTACCAGACCCCTCCCATGCACACACCTTATCCAGCATAATGACTACCTTTTATCACCAGTTAAAGACATTTTAAACTTCTGGGACTCAGTTCCTGATGCTGTTGAAGGTTTGAGTGAGAATTTAAAGCTGTAGTCAGACTAAAAGGCTATTAAATTATATACGTAAACCACTTCTTAGAGTTAGACTTTATTATTTGTGTTTCATTGAGCATGTTCTCAAGGTGTCCATCTTCTTGTTGCGCTCTGATGACATAGCTCACATGATGAAAACAGAGACACACACACCGGCATGTTTGCCAATGTTTGGATTCCTGGATTCTTGTTCAACTTGAGTCCTTGATTTTCAGGAATTTTGTGTTTTAGTCCAGGACCGGAACTGTTCCTTAAAGAGATATTTTAGGGTCAAACACACCAGAACACCAAATTAGACACCCCGTCAAGAGATGAATGTTGCCGACTGCTTGCTTCTCTAGTTATACCAACTTTAGTAATGACCGCACAAATACACAGCAGTCTCAGGAGCCACGCGCTCAACCAAAAAGCCACTCTGTAGCCACAAATAATGCTCAAAACAGCACCTAACTTCATCAACAAAACATATAGGGTCCCAGCCATAGTACTAGCCACCAAACATCTTTTTAGATTTGCCTAATTTCTTTAGCAAAGAGATTAAACACAACTCACCTACTCCCTTCCAGCAGCCACATGTTTGTACGGAGACCTCAGGCCAGTCCATCACTGACTGCAGTGGAGTGACGCAGCTCAAGGAAGAACATTTATGATCATTTCTTTATCATTCCCTTGAAGTAATAATCACCATATTAATCATTTTGCACAGCAGACGCAGTAGTTCTTCTGCCTTAGCATCTCAGTCTGATTACATTTCCATGAGGAAATGATCATAAATGAGCTGCGAGACTCCGCTGCAGTTGGTGATGGACTTGTCCAAAGTCTCCGTACAAACAAGGAAGAGGAGAGGGTGAGTTGTGTTTAGTCTCTTTGCTAAAGAAATCAGGCAAAGTTAAAAAGATGTTTGGTGTCTAGTGCTATGGCTGGGACCCTATATGTACTGTTCATGAAGTTAGGCGCTGTTCTGAGCATTATTTGTGGCTATAGAGTGACATTTTGGTTAAGCGCTGTGTATTGCTATCATGCCGTCATGACTTAAGTTGGTATAGCTAAAGAAGCAAGCGGTGGGCAACATTCATCTCTCAATGGAGTGTCTAACTGGGTGTTACAGTGTTTGACCCTATCCTAATTTTACACCAGAATATCCCTTTAACTTTGTAACAAGGGCTGGCGTGTGCACTCACCTGCACCTTGTCTCGTTCATTAGCAGAACCAAGCAGAGGTGCCTGTGATTGTACATTTTCCTCTCAAAGACTTGACAGAAAATGCACTCAGAAGAGCATCTGCAATAAGACCCATCAAGCATGAAGTTGAAGCATGTTGGGATATAATAAGATACCTGGTTTGTTTCATGAGATGTTCTAAGGTGTGGGAGGGTCTGTTTATTTTCAGTCTGTTTTAACTCTTCTAAGGTATGGCAGACATAAGACAGTTGATATATAGTAATTGTATACTTGGTACCTGTGCCGCCCCCCCCTGACATACACCCCTACCCTTATCTCACTTGTACAGACTCCTCAGGTGTAGTAGTGACAGCGTAACCAGAGCGACACACCTGGGTGCTCTGACATCAGAATGACGCAGACACACACAAGAAGATGTTCTCTCAGGTGTACAGTATAGACTGTACACTTTATGTGCATATACAGGCGTGTGTGTGCCAGTGTGTGTCTGTGTGTGTGGTGACTCAGGGTCCAGTGAATAGAGAGCTTCATCTGCCTGTTGTCATTCTGAGAGGCTTTGCAGCAGGCCGCTTCCTCCATTAATCTGTCTCCTTTTACCCGAGCTGTCAAGTCCATGGCATGCGTGTATGTGTATGTGTGTATTTTAAAGCATGTGCATCCGTTGTCTGTGTGTATGTGTGTATCTGTGCGAACACACCATGTAATATTTCACTCCCTCCCCACAGGGATTAGACCATTCATCTCCCGGAGCCCCTGTGTAGGTGTCACACATGGTGCTAATGAGGAGAGGATGGAACCAGGGAGCGCCAGCGACGAGGAGGGAGAAAGTAAAAATAGATTTGACTTCGGACGGCTAGAAAAGAGGCGACAGTGATCAATAATTCCTGCGTGGAAATCAAAGTATTGATTGATGAGGGATTTTTTTGTGTGCAGAGGGATGGAGAGCGTGGGCGATAGTGGAGTGAGTGTGAAGATGAGGAGGCGGAGATTAGAGCGTGTAGCCCTGCAGGGAGGGAAAGGGTTAAGAAATGGGGGCTCTTCTTATAACACAAATCAATTTAGGGCAGGCCGAGACATTGATTACAGCTGGCTCATACCTCACATGGTAGCAGCAGACATCAAACAGACACTGTCAGGCCTGTAAAACCACACAACGGGGGCATTGTCAGTTTCTGTGTGTGTGAGAGTGTTTTGGACTCTCTGTATGTGTGTGTTCTGCAGACCAGATATCTCTCTGCTTCCCCAGTTACTCAAACAAGAGGATGGCTGCTAGGCAACCAAGCCACATCACATCACATCAGGCAGGCCGGGAGAGGGCGAGAGACATAAAGAGACAGAGGAGAAGAGAGAGAGAGAGAGAGACATAGGAGAAGGAGGAGGCAGGAAAGTGTGCTGGCAGTATTACATAAGCCGGCAGCACAGTCCCACTGCTCACATTAATGTGGTTAGGCACTCGGAAGTGATGTCCATTAGTCACAAGTGACAGCGCAGGTGAAAACTCGGCATCCAGCAGTGATTTTTAAAAGCCATTGTTGTTTATAACAGATTATTATGAGAGGAGGATAAAAAAAAAAACCTCACATATTCTGAGTGGATGAGTCGCCTCCAAACAGAAACAGGGACTTATAAAAGCTTATAGGAACACTTTAGATAGACACACACGCAAACACAACAACTCACACGCACATAATAATAAAAGCAAGAATAATGACATTTGGAATGATGTGGGAACGCCCCTGACAGGAGAACTCTCATTGGACGATTGAAGGGTGGGGGGGTGTTTTTGTGCGTGTACATGAAAGCAGCGTCAATCAACACCATCATCAAAAATACATCAAGGGGCTGAAATAAAGATGAGCTGCTGCTGAGACTGACAGCCTATACATAATCTATGTTTCCACATATAGAACACAAACAACACAATCTGCCTCAAGATGTAAACTCGCACATCTATGACTCTCGACACAATCACACAGCCGCCATTTTTCTCTGATGCCTCTGTAAGGTAAAAGCTGATATTTGTGCTGGTATGTTATGGATGTAGTTTGTTGTTGACTGGAGCTACTTTGGCAGCTGTTTTTGATTTAGTCTTTGAGCTATAATACCTTTCAGTTTTAGTCACATTAGTCGTTTTTACCTTTAATAGTTCCAGCTTAGTTTTAGTCAACAAAAAGTCAAAACATGACTGTAACATGTTTTCTATCTTCAAACTAATTCAACCAGAAAGGTTGTAGTCGTGTTTAAATCTGCAGTGATTTGCTCTCTGTTAACACATTGTCTCATGTAATATTTAGATCCCTCACCTTCATTGGATGATTTATCTCAGATTCGTCCACCAGTGTTATGCGGCCCATATCAGTCCTAACAGACCTTTTCTGTTTCTTTTTTTGTTGTTGACTTCTTGTTTTTGTGGGTTTGGGGTTATCACTGTCTTAGCTCCATCTTTCTTTGATATAGTTTATCATTACTGCTATTAGTTTCTAACAATTTGTTTCTCACTTTACTTTACATTTTTCAGTTGACCCTCAAAGAGGTTAAGAGGTACAGTGGAGGCAGGCCTTTAGCCTCCTTGCTAACAACTAGCCTGTTAGGCCAGTAAGCTTTATATAACTAATGTTAATGAAATAATTCCCTCACTGCAGAGTGTGTATGGATAGAGAAACGAGCCATTCAGACAAAAACTTTCTCTCAACCAGGCTGCAAACATGTTTACTTAGGGTGACCATATTCTGACTTCCTAAAAAGAGGACACGACTAAGCGAGGGCGGAGTCACGGAGCCGCAGGAAGTCCGCACGGACATTTGAAGGATTTTATAAACTTCCCCGGACACAGCCGGACAGCCCCCCAAAAAGAGGACATGTCCAGTAAGAGAGAACGTATAGTCACCCTAGTTTACTTTAAAATAAGTGTGTGTGTGTGTGGTTTCGCTGTGTTTCTGAAAACAGCCTCAAGTGGACACTTTGGGAACTGCAGTTTTTACCACTTTTGCATCAGCTTGGTTCAAAAGGCAAGAGGTTGCTGCTTTATCCAGCACTTAACATGACATAAGGGAAAAGGTCCTTACACACCGGCGAATTTGCGGAGCGAAGCGAAATAGCGAGACGAAAATTGCGAATATTCGCCGGTCCGAAAAATCGCTTTCGCCGAATTAATAAAGTCGCAGGCGGTCACCCTGTGAAGTGTGCATGACACCTGTCTCCTAGGGAAGACAAGAGAGTGTCATCTTGTGAGAAAACTACTTCATTAGTAATTCGAAAGAGTTTTGGATGCACCTCAGCTGTCTTTGTCTGCGTTTTCATAATCTCAAACTTCTCCCTCTCCTCCAGCCGTATGGGTCTGTGATGTCATCAACAACATGACTTTTGATTAGCCAGAGGTCGAGCAGGTCCAGATATTTGCCTGCGAATATCCGAAAAATTCGACACAGGAGCGAAAAAATAAAAGCGGCTTTTCGCCCCGCGGAAAAATCGCTGGTGGTGTGGAAGCTTGCATTGACTTTATGCTGTTTTAAAAAAAGGCGAATAATTCGCCTGGCGAATTCTCGCCCAGTGTGTAAGGACCTAAAGGCTGCCATGAGTTTATGGTGAATTAATAGGCTTTGCAGAGTGACATTAACATTTTTTCAAATACAATTCACAACTTTTTTTTTTACTAACACAATTAGTTACAAAGTTACAGTCTTTCATTATAACGTTAAAAGTGATTTCTTAACAGAGAAACCAAGTCCCCCTCTGTTGCTTTTCTTCACAAACAGCGCTGAAATCCCAATAAATATCAGTGTTTAATCAAGATATTTAACAGTTCACGCAAAATACATTTTTTAAATAAACTTTTTATCTGAAAATGTTCAAGAATGAGTCTCAGGCATCAGAGGACAATCAGACTGATGAAACATGAGCTGACTGTGAAAAATAGAAACTGAAAAAACACTTTTTTCTTTTCTATGTAAATGAAAGTGTTGTTATTAAATGAAAATGAAAATCATCATTCTTAATTTTTTGCTTTCCTGTTGAAAAGAAATATGACAAGATTGCAACAACATTTTCCTTCTGGTTAAATATAAAGCTACAACCATGTTAGCTTAGCTAAGCTTGAGGACTGGAACCAGAGAGGGCTGGATCCATTTGAAAATTACTTTCATAATCTCTAAAATAGTCTTATGTTATATCTCAAATTCTTAATTTACCCCACATTTGAGATTATAAACTCAGATTTTATGGTTCCAGGAAGGGTAGTTGTGTTTGAGCTGCCTGCTGGCCTAGTTTCATATTAAATAAGCAGACATAAGCAAAAGGAAACTCCTTTTAACCATCTGGAGAAGAAAATTTCAAAAATATATATTTGTCCTTCAGACTCTTTATCCATCAGCAATGAATGGTTTTCCAGCAGCTTGCTTATCCTTCAACACAGACCCTCTTTGAGGTCTGTTAAAGCTCTCTTGGGATGATAGTGAAGGGTCGGATGGGGCAGGAAGCCTCGAGCTCCAGTGCGGTGAGGAAACATTCAGGGGCCTGGCTGGAGCCCAGCAACTGCAGGGCCTCACCGAGGCCACTCCACGCCTCATGGGAGGTGCTGTGGACCTGAACCGCATCACGCAGGACCTTCTCCCCGAGGTGGACACGATCAGTTTTCACCAAAAGACGGCCCTGCATGAAGGAGAAGTGACAGATGAGAAACCTGCGCTAACATGTGCATGATCAGCAATAAAGGCCTACTTAAAAAAGTAAGTAGGCTCTCAAAAAGTGTGTGTATGTTTGTGTTAAACTGTTAAAGTGAGGTGCAAAAACTAAACAAGTGAAGGGCAAAAAGTTCCCCTTAATGTACGTTGTGCATGAAAGTGGTGCATAAATCAAACTTCAAACTTTTCCCTCATAAATCCAAAATCAGAGCATGGCATGGCATCGTTAGAGCAAGTAAGCAGATGGTGGCTTTATACTTAAAATCCAAATCTTGGATTATAATGCCGGCTGTCCCACAGACTAATTTAATACAACAACAAAAAAAAAATATTCAGTGATGACATCCAACCGTCCTTCGCTTTACCAGAGTCATTTTCAACTGGGATTGTACAACTGCAGAGAGAAAATCCACAAAATCTTTAGATTAGGAGCTGAAAGACATGGCAGAATGTGAGCAGTCTGAACACAGACACACAAACGGGGATGCATTAGTGCAGAGTGAGAGGGCCACTACATCAAATTATATTTAACTGTTCTTTCAAACCAATGAGTTTTTCTACCAAATATGATTTAAAGACTTAATTTCAAGTTTTGATGGGCAACAACCCCCCAGGGCTCTGCCAGGAGGATGGCTATGTACTAAGTGTGTATGTGCTTGCCTGTGTTTTTGCTTGTGTGACATGTGGCATAAAAGCTGAGTAGTTAAGTGTATGGGGATGTAAATCAATATAACGTTATTACAGCCAAAAGTACAAGCTGTGAGAGGGTGAGGAGTCGTATGCATCACACCTGTTGTTGCTATGGTAGAGGGCATGCACAACTTTGTGTGAGTGTGTGTATCTGGCACTTGTGTGTTTTGTCCCTCTGTAGGACAGCTCAGTCAGGGTCCAGGTTGTTTGAGAGCTTAAAAGGGAAGGGCATCACGCAACTTGCCAACAGCATGGAGTCAAGCAAACACAACGACACTGCTCTCTACACAGACACACAAACAAATGGACACAAAAGTTAAGATATTGGTTCACAAAGATTATTTGAGCTGATGCTGATAACACCTTCTCTAGTTTTGTGCACACATGAGGGTAAGACAGGCTAAGATTTAGTGAGCAAAGATGAGTGACATTTACAAGTACTGAGCTGAAAGGGGATGATTGTTACCTTTCCTGGTGAAGGTAGATGTTTTTTTCCAATAAATCATTCCTTATCTGATGTCATAGTTTTCTTTTCTTTCTTTTTTATTATATCTCAGATATGCAATCTTTTTCACATACCTTGACATGTTTCGGCGGAAAACTTTCGCCTTCCTCAGAAGTGTCACTTGGTGGCATGTGTGACACGCCATATCAGCTGGTGTTACAGAGGCGTGACCCTCCTGTCGATTTTTTTGACACGACGGTCACGCCTCCCACTGTCTGTTTGCCTCTAATAGGAACAAACTCAAGGCGATATTAAAACCACTACTAACCACCCCCAGAATCTACGGCACACCAAAAATACACAAACCAGGAGCACCCATTGGATCAGTCACCTACAACTTATCAAAACCACTTACAAAAATAATAAAACCACTTCTAGGCCAAACAGACTAACACTGTAAAAATTCAAAACAGCTGGCAGACGAGTTTAAAAACATAAAAGTAGGGCCAGATGAAATCTTCATATCACATGACATCATATCACTCTTCACAAAAACCCCAGGACCAGCTTCAAGCAGACAGGACATTATAGAAACGCACAAACCTAACCATCCAGGACATCACACATCTTCTCCATTTTATCACCACATCAGTATATTTTCAGTTCAGGAACCAAATATACAAATAGAAAGAGGGATTTGTCATGGGAGGCCCACTCTCAGCTAAAATGTGTTTTTTTATGGAAGATCTGGAGGAAAAAAGTCAGAACACCCGTACCCGAGGAATACAGACCCACACTGTGGAAAAGATGCGTGGATGACATACTGGAGAAGGTAAAAGCAGGACATACTCAAAAACTCACAGACCATCTGAACGCCATGGACACTACAGGAAACATCAAATTCACACGAGGAGGAAGTAGGACAATCCATACCTTTGTAGTGATTGTAATTTTTACAGTGTTGACCATTGACAGGAGGGTTACACCTCAGTAACACCAGCTAATATGACATGTCACACCTACCACCAACTGACACTTCTGAGGAAGGCGAAAGTTTCCACCGAAACATGTCAAGGCATGTGAAAAAGATTACATGTCTGAGACAATGGAAAAAAAAGAAAGAAAAAAAAAGGCTGAAAAAGGCTGGTTAGCTTGAGTGAGTCAAAGATAGGTAACTTTCTGCAGTTACCAAATGTTCAATCGGCACCATGGTGTTGTGTTCTTTGGTTTTAATGCTAGCTGCTGCTACTGCTCCTTAATTGTTAATTACATCTTGGTGATTTGGAAGATTGTGTTAAAACTTAAGCATTTTTCCTCTTTGAATACTTCAGCATGTTTTGCACAATGCAATCGTATCATAAACTACATCCCAGCCTGTGCCTCAAAACTAACTTGTCAGCTTGTTACTCTTCCATTAACTGAGGATCGACAATACTGCTATTTGTTGTTTTTATCATATAAAATTGTATTATCAGCAAAAAATAATGGCAGAATATTATTTTATTTAAGCAGCACAGTACCCTTATTGTCAACTATGATTTTCTCTCTCAGTTTGTTGCACAGACAAACACGCACACACACACAAAATAAACACACACACACTGCTCCATCTGTTAGTTAGCTGGTAACCATGGAAAAGATGATCACCCCCATCACCAGCTCGGTTTTATCAACACCTGAGAATAAACAGAGGCTGAACTACGATAAGGTGTCCTGAGGAGACTCATTTTCTTTATCTGTGTCACATGATTTCTTCTGAGGCCGCACCCATTTAAAGGACGAGCATCTGAGACTAACTGTGAACATAGACTATGACCAAACCAAACTCCATTTTTAACAGTCTTTTTAAAAAGATCTGAAACTATAGCACCGTTACATCAGAAAATACATTTATAGAGCAACACTGATAAACCGGGGCTGCAAGCATCCCTTCACAAATAAACAGAATATAACAGACTTAAATAGGAAAACATGGACTTACTATAAGTCCTTTCTTTACCTAATACCAGTTTTAAAGGTGGGCAGACATATTTTAATGAGAAGTCAGAGCAAGGTATAAAACCCCTCTTAAACTTCGTTCCTGTAGTCAGGCAGGCAAACAGGTGGAGGATAACCTAAGAAATTAAAGCCACAGTACATCACACACAGCTGTATTTAGTATACATAGATGTAAATACAGATAGATGTTTGCAAGAACATTTCACTCATATTCAGTTCTCCTGAGAATTTCTATATTTCTGTTTATGAACATCTGAGTCCTCTTGAAGGTTTTGGTCAAACTTTCACCTCCAGGCATTGCTTAAGCTTGCTATAATTTTCCAGCTTGGTGCCTGTTGACTGTCTCATCTCAGAAGAGAAGTGACTGAGTACTTTTGGTTTTGGCTGCACCTCTTTTTTAAAACCTTGTCAAAAAGGTCTCAGGGGAAGATTTCCAGGCTGCAGAGGCAACATGAGGAAGACTTTCAGCTGTTTTTAGAAAATAAAATGAGTAAAAAGATGCGTTAGGGAGTAGCAGAGTGAGCAGATTAGTGAGTGAATAATGTACACTCAAGAACATGTAGATTGCTGGTGCGAGTTTCTGGCATTACAATAAAAACACTGGTATCTATTGGTTTTGTTTTCTACTTGCAGCCATCTGTCTGCAGTTTTACCTCAGCTGATCCCGTGGAGTCGACAGTGCAGGTTTGTTCTCTATTGTACCACTGAAGCAGAGCTGAGTCAAGCCAAGCGAGCAGGCAGGGATGTTTCACATCCATCTTTTAAGGTACATCCAACAAAATGTATAAATACTGAAAGGGGCATACATCATTTAATCAAGTGCATTTATATCCGCGGGATCAAAGAAAAAGCTCAAACCAGCACAGATCTGATTATTTTGATTAGCACCGGAGAGGTCTGCTAGTATTCATATTTCACACTGCGCACAGATTAAAAGAGAGAGCTCTTTCTTTTTCTTTGTAATTTTTGATATTAAACTACAGACACTGGTTTATGAGAACAGTTTTTGGATCACTATTTATTATCAAAACCTTTTCATCCCAAAGCTATGGTTACATTTTATCACATCGTAGTTTGAGTATAAATACTGGAATGTGTTGATAGTCTGATTAAAAACATCACCATAGGCTCTTTCTTTACCAAAGCTAGATAGAGTCCACCGACATAACATGATTTAGAAAGAAAATAACAGATTATAATTTCTAATATAAAAATAAAAACAATGGTAGTTATACTTAAATTTAGATAAAGGTTAAAAAAATCATTCAAAGTTTTAATCCCAGATGTTTTGTTTGTACGGGGCTCTCGGTTCAGGTTCATAAGGCCCATCATAATCCAATATGGCCACCCCAAGGGTATGCTGACACTCCAAACTTGTAACCTGTATCTGTTGAAAGCCTGCAGGCTAACTTCTCCCACACACAGACACACAGTGTAACCCAGTGACCCGATGAACTGCCTCTGAACCAGCAGAGTGTCTCACCTGAACCCTTAATCCCATCAGAGGTTCAGTCCAGTCAGGCAGGGAGAGCTGAGGTGAGCTGAGGCTGCTGGTCTTGACCCGGTCACACTGCTTTAAACTTTGTCTACTTATGAACCCCTTTTATACACAACCCTATGCATTTATGGTATATCCCTTACAGTCAGTTAGAAGACATCAGTAACATGTATGTCAACTCTGAAGCTGTAGTCAGCAGCTTATCTTATTTTAGTGTAAAGACTGGGAATACAGAAATAGACGGCTCCTTTTATAAGGTGTTAATTGGAAATTGAGAGAGGTGTGACAGCGGGTGTTAAATCACACTGATCCATGGTAGCTGCTTCCCCAAGTTTTAGTCTACAGACCCTGTTAACCCAATGTAGTTTGATGCTTAGTGTTGACATAAGAGAAATCTAGATGAACAAGAAGCTAGTCGTGGTCAGCATTGCCAGTTGGAGATCCACCATCTTTGGGACACCAAGGAGCGTTGTCACTGTTACTAAGTCTTTGTTCACACAGGCTACAGGTAAAAGAAAACACAAAAAGGATATACCATGATCAGGCCTAGCAGAAACAAGCCAGTAGTTAAAGGGTTAGGAGGGCCATAAACCAAAGCATTTACTTCAATTGGCCTTTTTTTGGGGACATCAGGAGAACAACAGAACCACCAAAAATGACCATGAAGGACACAAAAAGATTGAAAAACAGCCACAAAATGAAATCTTTTTTTTTTTTTTTTACAAAGACTAACAAATTACCAGAAACAAATGCAAATACACTCAATGACACACCAAAAGATCACTCAGAGATGGGAATGAAAACAAAGAGATTCAAAACAACAACACAAAAACAGACACAAGATGTCTTCAAGCAACAAAACTGCAAGTCTCACACAGATAAAGACTGAGTTACGGACTTCAGCTGTCAGTTTCTCATAATCTGCTCAGAGTTTCAACACTTAGTCTGAGCTTTATCAATGTGTTGTGAAACTAAAGTTGCTGACCATCTCCACCCTGGAATGAATGATACATGTGCATGACAAACACTGTGTGACTGTAACTGTACTGCTGTGAAGTATGCTAACAAGCGAGGAAAAAAAAACAAGCTGTATACAGTGCACACCTGCACTGCAAAGTTAATTCTCACCTCTCTGTGGCTCAGAGCAGATCTATAAATATAGCAGTATAGAAGTCAATGCCAGGTACACAGCCCCATGAGGAAACAGCAACAGGAAGTGAGAACGAAGATGAAGGAGGAGGAAGAAATGAATGGGGAGTGAAACAGGAGACACAGAGAAAAGGAAAAGTAGGAAGAAGACAAACAAGGAAGAAAGGAAGGAAAGGAGTAAGGAAGAGCTAAACTGGGAACAATGGATGAGGAGATGGAGAGAAAAAGGAGAGAGGTGTCAAAGAAAAAGGAAAAAATAAGTGGGCCCAGATGAGCCATACATAGCAACAGAAGAGCCAGCCAACTCCCAGTCCTCTCTCTCTCTCTCTCTCTCTCTCTCTCTCTCTCTCTCTCTCTCTCTCTCTCTCTCTCTCTCTCTCTCTCTCTCTCTCTCTCTCTCCTTCCCTTTCTCTCTCTCCTTGGTTATCAGAGGTCTTGCTCAATAGAATATATTTCCCTGGTTGCTAGGCAATCTCATAAAGCGGCGAGAACGTGCAAAGTGTTATAAATAATGTATTTGCATTATCTAATCAGCTGACAACCACCCCCATCCACAGAGAGAGAGAGAGAAAGGGAGAGAGGGAAGACAGAAAATGACAGAGAAAACAGAGAGAAAGAGGGAGGGAGAGAGAGAGAGATGGGGGGCATTTGATAATTGGAACGCGATTAATTCAATGAGCACAAGTCCTCGTCCTTGAGAGTATGCATGCATATGTGAAGCAATGTATGAATATGCTTCAGCTGGAGAAGAGGGAAGGAAAGTGTGTGTGTGTGTGTGTGTGTGTGTGTGTGTGTGTGTGTGTGTGTGTGTGTGTGTGTGTGACTCAGAGCAGCAGGGATGAGATGTGGAGGATGTTGGGAGTGGGTCAGATTCATTTCATGCCATCGCCGGAAGCGAGGCTGGGCCGTGTTTCAGTATCAGCTAACCATGAGAACACACACACACACTTACACACACACACCTAAACCTTTCCACAAAGAGATGGACACACTCACACACACTCACATGCGTAAATGCAGACACTGCTTGGAGTGGGATGGAGTGATAAAACATTTATTGAGCTGTAACTACAGTGTGGTGATACTGAAAAAACAGGAGTAAAAATTTGCTGACCATTAGCATGCACAGCATAACATGGTCCTATACTGGTTTCCCTTTCTACCACACCCTCATCGATCCAAAAATACTCTGAAACCAGCAGCTGACCAGAGCCGTGAGTCACTGTCTGATCACTGCATTTCTCTCTCTCCCTCTTACTTCACTCTCTCACTCTCTCACTCTCTCTCTCTCACACACACTCACACTCTTACTGGAAAGAGCTGTGGACACGGTTGAAGTTAATATGTAGAGTTGAGGGAATAAAGTGTTGTGTGGTGAGAAATGGAAAGATAGTGGTGGTGTGTTATTATGAACTAAGCCTCAGGAGCTGCTCAGCTTCTGTACAACTTCCAGTTCTGATTTCCCTTACTCATATTTCCCTTTCCTCTTCCTCTGTGGAGAGAATTATGACTTCACTTTACTTGAGTGAGGCAGTTCAACACTCTCTTTAACGACCGAATAGTTCCTCTGCTTCAGTACTATTCTGCTCCTGTGATGTGACTTTTTCTATAACCCCGGGGTCAGAGCTGACTACTCAAAAACAATTGACAAGGGTGCAGCTCATGCAAAAGAAAAGGGTGACTGAAGTGGTACATTACATTTTCATAACTTTATTTGACTTATTCAGAGGAAACAGTAGTCTTGATAGAATTACTATTTAACAGGTGATGTAAACCTGTAATTTGCAGTTACTTACAAGTGCCACAAGATGGCAGCAGCTTGATCTCAGGTTTGTAACAAAACTCTGCGATATGTTAACGTTTCCTCAAGATTTCCCCAAGAAATAACACTGAGTCAACTAACTCATAGTCTAGCATACCTGGACAACACGGTTGGAGATTGATTTTTCTCTTGCACAAACTGAAACTGGCATAAGTATTCTGCGCTTTTATTTTAATGTCGATAAGGGCAAGGAATTATCAGCTTTATAAAAACCAGCTAATAGGCTTAGTTGAAATGCCTGACAAAGACACAAAGATAAAAAAAATCCAGCAGTAGACAAGCTTAGCCAAGCATTAAGACAGCCAGTAGGGCTAAACAACTACTCTGGTTTGTTACAGGTAAAAACAAACACCCAAAAAAAATTATAATAATTCTAAAAAAGAATAAAAAAGATAAAATTCACCTCATTATCTGAACCTTATTGAACCTGTTAATTTGTCATCCAGTAATTTTTCTGCTGATGTGCAGAGTGCTGTGATAAAGGCAGGCATAACTCTTGATTAGGTCATTGTTCACAGTCCAACAACAACAAAAACAACACGGGAGGCTATTCTTGTGTTTGACGATGACGTCTTTAACCGCTGGCTGAACTTGCTCACCGATGTTTGTTTTTGTTTTTTTTTTAATAAAGAATATGAAACTAAAATGTCAACAGGTTACAGTTGGTAGAAGTCAAGAATACATCATCATAGATGCAACCCTTAAAAAGACAAATAATTATAGCAAAGCTGTCATTAATGAAAAAGTAGCTGCTGCAGGTTAATGGTAAATCACTGCACTTGTACAGGGCCTCTCTTTTCTTCTTAAGTGGTGTTTCATGTCACATCCAACCTTTTACACACATTTACATATTAATCAAGTGTCATGCAAGGCCACTAATCAGTTCATCATTCACTCACATTGGACACAAGCTATACCTTTGAGAGCCCTTGAGGATCAGTATCTGTCATGAAGAACTTTGACCTGTGTGAGCTGAACTGATTGAAATCTTCATACTAATAGGCTGCCTAACCCTTACCTCTAACGACTGGGAGGTGACAGACCGAGAGTCAGGCGAGCTGGTCTTTGGCTCACATGACTCCAGTCTAAAAAGAGTTATGTAAGGTTTTGATAAGAGCTGATCGTGATGGTTTGTAAATGATTGAAGCGTTAAGTTAACAAATGAAATTCTGAAATGTCAATATATGAAACACAGTATATGCTCATTTAAAATGTGATGCTAACAAGAAGTTTCAAAAGAGTTGGCACAAGGACAACCCAACTCTGAAACAGCTGTTTAATGCTGAACAAGCAAACTAATCATTAAAACATTCAGAAAAAATTCATGAAAAATCCATGTTTGAATGGGGCAAGGTTGAAACAACACAATATCTCCAGGCCCTCAGACAGCACTGCTTAAAAAAAACAGACATGACTCTGTAGTGGAAATCACTGCATAGGCTCAAAATCTCAACCCTGAAACACTATCTAGGAACATAGCTTTTTGTCACTTCTCTGAGCCAGAGCTGATTTAAGGTGGACTACGGAGAAGTAGAAAACCTTTCTGTGGTCTTACAAATCAAAACTTGACATTCTTCTTGGAAATCATGGATGTCACATCCTCTGCTCTAAGGTGGGACCGAGGACTACCTGGCTTTTTATCAGCCCAAAGTTTAAAAGCTAGCAACCTTGGGAATATAAAAGTGCATGGCAAGTTTACACAACTGGGAAGGCGCCATTAATTCTGAACATACTGGTTTTAGAGGAACATACGTTGCCAACAAGACTGTGCCTTTTCCAAGGAAAAACAAGACCAGGGAAGATCTTGCCTAACACAGCGAGGAGTTGCAAAACTGCATTCTTCACACATTGCAACAGCACAGCTTTATGCTGTGGTAGGAGAGTACGGGTGCTAAACTAGCCTGTCTGAAGTTCCAACTTGTCACTTACAAATGTTTGATGCATCATGACTCCAAAATTACGACAAAAGAGACTTCAAACTTTTAGGGAACTGAAATCTTGTATTCGGCAAGAACAGGATGTTACACAGAACTCTTGGAGCTAATCCCAAAATGTTAACAGAGTATCGGCTGAGAGATGAGGTGATGCAACAAAAAGGGTGAACGTGGGCATGTCACAACCACTTCTTTGTAGATCGTATCACTGGCCTCAAATCTGTAACATAATCTTAAATTATACTTTTTTTCAGTTTCAACTTCTGATACAATCATGATTGGAAAACCATCAAGAATTTGTTTTTCTTAATATTTTACACAATGCCTCAGCTCTTATTCCCTCCTCTCCCCCTTCCTCTTACACTGGTGTCAGAGTGTCATCCTGCCAATATGCAAATACATAAATGAGAAAACTGTCAGGTAAAAAGGAATCTTGAATCTCAAAAAATAAATTATTAAAATTGAAATGCACCAAGCATCCTGAACCTGACGGTGAGGTATCTTCAACAGGTCTTGTTTTTGTTGGCTTATTAGCTGTAACATAATCAACGGTCAATGTAACTTCAGCGCCTAACTTACTTTTTCTTCTTTCTTGACTGGTCTCTGTTAAAGTCTGAGTTAGTCCCTGTCTTTCACTTAATGTCTCTTTTACATATCCAACATGTTGCTCTGCTCTTGCCTGCAATTACTGCAAAATCCTTGAAAGTAAACGGTGCAATTTGTAGCATCTCTTTATCCTGTCAGGGAATGTAGCAGTATTCCTGTCTGATGGCAACATGATGAATAATGTACGACTTTCTCCCCGTTGGGTCTGTCTCATAATGATACTGTCATGAAATCCGAAGAAAATGATTGTACCGCCACAGCACGCCAGTACATCTTCTTTTAACTGTCACCCTGATAACTTAAAAAGATCTTAAGGACATTCAAGGAAAGTACAGTATGTACCTTTGCAGAATAATAGCTCGAGTGTAAGAATATCAACCAAGAATATCATCAGAATTCCCCTGAAGGCAGAGCAGAATAAATGGGCCAATGGCACACAAAGTGTCCACAGCAGATACAGTATAAAAATAAATGCATGAAGCCAGCAGAGCCAAAGACAAGCAGTAACTGTAGGTTGTGTTCTGGCAGGCTGATGCAAGACAGAAGTATGAGGAGAGCTCCAAATCAAATGTCCAACACGCTGTCCCACTTAGGCTGCACCACAATGTGAGGATGATACTATTTAACACAGTTTCATATAAGCATGTCCAATATACATGAGGTTTACTTTAAACCACATTTTACAGAGCAGGATTTTTGTGTTCAAGTTATAAAACCCCCACCGTGACACACATCTGAGAAATTAAACAATCTAGAGAGAATATTGCAAAACAAGCAACAGTACAGGCCCGCAGCACGCAGCCAAGACACCCAGGGACATGCCACCCACTCCGACTGCTTCACTCGTTGTCTCACATTGAAGAGTCTTTTCAATAAAAACAACACTCCACAAAGTTTATCAACTTTATAGTGCATGACTGTTTTCTTTCAAAGCATGGGGCACTGTTGCTACTCGATCCGTCCCTGAAACCCAATTTGTACAGTGCATGTGCGAAACATACGTCACTTTCTCTACTAGCCATCTTTGCGACAGCTCAGCAATTCTCTGCCCCTAGCAGTTTGCGATAGTTTCAACACTTGTTCGACAACTTCACCATCAGCGAGCTTCCTTCAGTCAGAATGGATGCTTCAGTTCATCACCAGCTACATGTTTTTTGCCTGAACGGAATGCGAACTGGGCGCCAGAAAGTCAAGAGAATGGCGCCCAGTTTCACAATCAAAGGTTCCTACTACAGCTTAATTGTAAACTTGCAATGTAGTAATAAAAGGCTTGAATAAATGTGGATATTTCATTGCTGAAGTTGAAACGCAGTATAAAAATGCTGAAATTCATTGTCCAAAATCTGTTTGTTAAATAAATGAAGTAAATACTTTTTTGTTTAAAAAAAAGGGTTAGATTAAGGTACTAATCATGTGTTTCAAATGTTCCCTTCATCTTCCCTTAATACTTTGAAAAGTCTGAGAACTGTGATTTTTGACCAGGTTGTGGCGCACTCTGTGGCCTGGGAAGGGTGCACAATGGGGGGCCACACACCTCCAGAGCATCCCCCCTTGATACTTTGAAGAGTCAGAGAACCATAATTTTGACCGGGTGGCGGCGCTCTATGGCCCAAAAGGTCTCATGGTGCTGGGCAGGAGCTCTGGCGAATGCCTCAGCATTAGCTCTGGAGCCTTCCACTAGCTAGCCTGTCACATCGCCAGCTAGTTTCTGAATCGATCAGTTGTTTAAATAAAGTTTAAGGTGACGTAAATTTGCACTTGCGCTGATCGTGTAGGTAGCAATAGCAATGCCGTAAAAAGCATTGAAATACGAGAAGAGGAAGTGACATGCGTTTCGCACATGTGCAGTACAAATCAGGTTTCTGGGACGGATCTGGTAGCGACAGGCACTACCATCCATGCTGCCAGGTATCCCAGCATGCTTTGTGCAGGAATATTGATGATTTTAGTACACAAAGAATGGGCTTGCTCCCTTTCCCCATCAGTCAGTGCGTTTACATGCACAGCTCAGTTGAGCCAAGGTCATAGCTGGAAAAGGTGATCCTGAGTAGTGCTGGGCGATAGGACGATAGATATCGTGTGCACGATAGAAAATGTCTATCGTGCCATTTTTATTTTTATCGTTTCGGGCGATAGGCTGTATTTTATCCATAGGGCTTGTGCCATCAGATGATTCATAGTAACAACAACAATAATTGCACATTCAGTAAGTGTATTTGGTGTCGAACGGGAAAGAAAACAATATTTGCTTACAAAGAAAAGGATGCGTTGACATGTAGGCTTGCATTTCTCTGTCGATTTTGCGACATGACGCCGCTTTACGTGCCCTCTTCGTGTCCAGCGTCTCCCGCCGTTGCGGGTTACCTGGGTTACACACGTGAGGGGATCATTGTAAGCAGTGCTTAATTTGTGCCGGAGCAAGTCGGAGCGCGATCCGGGACCTCTTTTGATCGGATCCGGGACCTATTTCAGCCGCTCCGGCACCTGTCTCATCTGCTCCGGGACCTTCCCTGTAAAGGATGACATTTTTCGGGAATTCCCGTGGGTCACGTGATTCCCACGGGAATCCCACGGGATGGGAGTCATTTTTTAATTAATCCCTTGATCGGGACGGGACGGGAAAAAAGGCAACGGGAGTGGGCAGGAGCGGGAACAACATTAATAGATGATCATTTTCAGCCGTGTTTAACAACCAGATGAACAGGTGCGTCCATTTTTGTAGTCATCTCTCAGTACGTAATTTTGTGACATTCTGTAGTTTTTCAATCATTTCTGGAGTCATGGCGAATCAAATCACCTTACCTGTCTGCCCCTGATAGGCGAATAAAGCGCTCGGATTCATGCTCGGGTCTTGCTACGTGCTTCAAGAGTAAAGTAAACAATGATGGAGGCAGAGAGCAGCTTTGGAGGAGAAACATCTAGCAGTGTGAACAACCTCTTCAAAAGAGCCCTGAAGACCGACCTTTTTAATAAAGCCTTTGGTTAGTTTTCCTCTATGCTTTATGCTTTTACTACCTTGCCTCTTACATTGCAACTCTATATTTTTTATTTTTTTAAATTATTTTTTTATGCCAATCTGTGACTGTCATTCTATTGCTTTTTTATTGTTGCTGCTCTTTTTTTACTGTGTACTGTAGCACTTTGAGATTTTTTGTAAATGTAAAGTGCATTACAAATTAAATTTATTATTATTATTATTATTATTATTATTATTATGGAGTGCTTTGGCTCACACTATCGGCGTTTTCTGTGAGTGTTGCATAACTTTGGGCGAGCACAGACATGAACGCACTTCGGCCACGTATTTATTTATTCATTTTTCTAGTTTTAAGTGCTGGTCTTGTACTGGTACTGTACTAGTGCAGCTGTATAAACTTAAATTTTTCATAGAACTGAAAGCATACCATAGCTATATCGTGATATATATCGTTATCGTGATATAAAATGATCCATATCGTGATATACATTTTTTTCCATATCGCCCAGCACTAATCCTGAGTGACTGGACTTCTGTCCTTGTCCCGATTTTTTATGCACTGGGAAAGAATCAAATTATCGACAGAAGCACAGTGGGTGCAAAAAATGATACAGACTGAAAGTTCTTCACAGGAGCTTTAAATGACTATGATTATTATACCAGTATCACCCCAATAACCTTGTCTGAAAATTGAAATTCTTTCTCTGATGTTTGTTTGCTTGTCCAGCACAGATACGCCATGGTAGTGCCACCCACCACAAAATCGGAGGGACTACTATTTTTAATCGTGCATAAATTATTTTCAGTAAAATCATCTTTAAATCCAAATCTAGTGTCAATATATTCATCACCTGACCCGGTAGCTGAGGCTGAGTAATAAGCAGGATAATGCATAGTGAATGGGTAGTTATACTTTACGGCCCTTTGGGATTCTGATCTCCATCATGAGTTGTTCTCTATACATTATCCCTTTTTTATTACCCTTAAAAATGTCAGCATCAACCAGCATAGGAAATAAAGTGTTATGATCATATTCTGTGCTATATTCCTCAGCTTTACACAATATTTGATTTAATCTGAGAGCTGAGAAAAGCACAAAAAGACCACATGTGTGTCAAATCCATGGAGGAAGACAAAACACAATCCTGCCGAAGCGCACACACACACACACGCGCACACACACACACACACACACACACACACACACACACACACACACACACACACACACACACACACACACACACACACACACAGACAGAGAGAAGAACACATCTGGCCTGCAAGAGACCCAGAGTAGGACACTGCCAGCTGGCATACATTCAACTTTTCACCCCCTGGGATTGGTTCTCCCACAGGCCAAATATGGAAGAGACGTGTTCCTCTGTCCACCCCAATGGGACTGCACTGCTCTGCACGCACACTCACACATGCACACATACGCACGCATGTGCACACACACCACACACACGTAACTTACTGCACAGCAGAAGTAAAAGCATTAGCCTTATGTGGTCATAAGGTGGCCGGTGGCTAAGTCAAACAGATATCATCCAGCACATCTATGGTCACTATGGAGACCACAGACTGCGTGTGTGTGTGTGTGTGTGTGTGTGTGCGTGCACTTGTGTACGCTTGTGTGTGTATGTGTGTGCATGGCAAGCAGTGTGACTCTTGGATTTGAGGAATATCCCTCTCTGGTCCCTTCACCATGACAACAAAGAGAGTTCAAAGGTCAGATCAGCGATGGTTAATCCATTGGATGATCCAGAAGACAGAGAGAGAGAGGGAGACTGAGTGAGGGAGTGGGCGAGAGTGGGCGAGAATGAGGATCTTTATAGCACAGAGGAGGGAGAGAAAGAGAGACAGAGAGAGAAAAAAGAGAAATCGAGAGACAGAGAGAGAGAGAGAGAGAGAGAGAGTGGGCTCAGATAAGGAAATGTGGGCGAGTGATCAGTAGAGGGAGAGTGAGTCTTTGAGCAGTGTTTGCCATTTGTCAGCTATGAACTGAAGTTTCTTTCTTTTTTCTAAAATTTATAGTTTGCCCTTGAATAAACAAACCAAAGTATGATTAATTATATGATGAGGCTTGATCATAAAGACTAAAATATGACACTCTCAGCACTGAGACAGCAGGTACAGCACCTTACACATGCTGCTTTGTCTACTGCAAGATTACAAACTAGTAAAGGTATCAGACATGAAGCTGTGCTAAAAGTTTCTGTTTTATCAAATAATTGAACACCATTAGCTAGAGTGTATGAAGCTGATCTAAAAGGGACAACAACAATAATATGTAAATATTTTTTACAAAAAGAAGTTGGTGGTAATTAAACAACTTCTTACTACCACAAAAAAAAAAAAAAAGTTTATAATTAAAGCTTCAGTGAGGAACTTTCAACTTGACAAAGTAGTCTTTGTTTATCTTGCCCTCCAAATGGGTAGTGTCTTCTGGCCAAAAATCTCATCCAGCTGACTTTTGACTTTCATAGATTTTATTTTTTTTCAGTATTTTATGTTGAATTTGAAAAAAAAGAAGGCTGTTTCTTCAGCTTTTCAGCTGACACTACCCCCACACCACTTTCATGCAAACAAAAATTGTAAAATAACAACCATCAATACTGTCACTGATAGTCTGTTTTGCTTTTGTAAATCATGAAAAGGCGTAAATATGAAATTAAAAAAAGTTTAAAAACTCCTCACAGGAGCTTTAAGAATAACAAAGCCGACTTTTAAATTCACTATAAAGTAGTGATAATAAAGAGCAGCTCTATTTAAAAATATCTCCATGACACAATAAGGGAGATAACCAAGATCATGTTCTTGCAGGATGACATGTGCGTTTGTGTGAACGATTAGTGTTCAAGTCACAGAGCATGAAAGAACATCATCTATTTAGATTTATTATAACATAATGTAGATAATCATTCAGACTTTGTGCATTCCTACATGTGTGTCGTTTGTGTGGCTTACTGACTACATGTATGAGTCTGATTTGGATTTTAGAATTATTGCATAACATCCGGAGTGATGTAATTTTGTGAACTCAACTTAAGCATATATAATGTGCGTGGCTCTGTGAGTGTGTGTTTGTGTGTGTGCAGCTGTTAGCCAGGGTGCAAACATGAGTGTGTGCACATGCTCACCCTGTTTCTTACATCATTTATAATTCCATGTGTGTTAATGTCTGTTTCATTTCTCAGCCTCTAAAGCTGTCTGCGTCTCTCACCATGTGCACGAGGATGCTCTCTCCGGTAGGGTTGATGGCGAGCGCCTCGTCATAAAGGCCTTTAGCCTCGTCCAGTTGACCCCGTAGCTCCGCCAGGCGGCCCCGCTGCAGCAGCACCGAGTGAGAGTTTGGGAAGAGCGCAGAGGCCTCAGCGATGCAAAACTGGGCTTCCTTTAGTCGACTGTCAGCCATGAACAACTCCCCTGAAGGAAGAAGAGGAGAGAGGAGGAAGAGTTACAGGGTGATTAAAGACAGGTAAGGAGCAAGGAAGAAAGGACATAAAACAGGTGAGAAAGAGCAGAAAGTTGTTGAAAGGTGTGATGGAGGGAGAGAAAATGAGAGACAAAGACAGGAAAAGAGGGGAAAGGTAGAAACCTGTTAACCTCCTCAAACCTGAGCTTTTACATTTAAAGTTTCCATACTGTTCAAAAAGAAGTCATGAATAATGAGCAAGGGATCCCAGCAAGATGAGCAGGACCCTCAGGTGAAGCAGAGGTTTCTGCTTGCATTAGGGTCCTCTTTAATTTGTTATTACCTACTCACTATACATCATCTTACTAAACTGTATAAAACAATAAAGATGCAAACAATTACAAAGGTGATTATTCAAAGTCTGAACACTGAAACTAAAAGGCAAAAAATTTAACAGATTTAAAAGCCCTTGAGTTTGTCAGTGCTTCTCCAGATCAGTGCTTCTCTTATGGTTGTATTTTCAGCTTTATACAATTTTAAAATCTGCTTTGCATGAAAAATTATAAGCCCTTCAGTAAATTTCTCTATTTGGCTGCATCTTAGTTTGTCTCAAGTATAAAGTTGGTGTAAAATTTGAAACTACAAACATTTTCAAACACAATAAAAAGATTTCAAGCATATTCTTTGATATCATATTCTCCACTTTTGTTTTGTATCATTTGACAGATACTGTACATCTTCTAACTTGTTTCAGTCATTGGCTTTTGTGTATCGTGCTTCTTCTGAAACAGCTGTTAAATAGTTCATTAAAGTCTACACCTAAGAAGACTCAAGTATGAGTGAAAAGGTTAAGTGTGAGTTCAGTAGTTTTATATTTAAATGTAAACTCTGAAAGGGTAAAGAAAAAAAGAGACATAAAATAATACACTTGGATGGACACATACACTGAAGGAGAGAGTGGGAGCTGATGTGGTGCCTGGGAAGTCCTGAAAGTCTTGCCTAAATATGGACATTGCTGCCTTTCTGTGCTGCTGAGGACAAACCCCAGAAACACACACACACACACACACACACACACACACACACACACACACACACACACACACACACACACACACACACACACACGCCTACAAGTACGCTGCTGTCCAATAAGGGATGGACACAGAGCTGAAAAACCCGCCCCTGACACTGGAGCTGACCAATATCTTAATGGGATGTAGATGCAGTGGGCTGTCAATCAATCTCAGAAGTGAACATCAGGTCAACAACAGAGAGAAACTCTGCATCCTCTGTGTAAGAGAGAAAGAGAGAGAGAGAGTGTGTGTGCGTGTGTGTGTGTGTGTGTGTGTGTGCGTGTGTGTGTGTGTGTGTAATATGTCTGCTCCTGAATGCTGCAATATCCCATGTGTGTTTTTGTGTGGGAGCCTATGTGTGTGTTTGTTTACCTGTGTGTCATGGCTGCACAGATGGGAAACACTGAGCTCATTCTGAGATGAAAAAGAGTCATTTCCGGACTCTGCTTTCTTTCATAGCTTCACTTTGGGGAAAATGATTCAGTGAATGCTCTCAGGTTATGTAAGCCTGTTTCCTGCTGCTCACCTGAGCTCTCACATAAAACTGTCAGCTCAATGCATACATGTGCACCGCTCATTGATATGTTTTACAGGTTAATCCATTATAAAAAGCAAAGGTTCGCCTGATCCCATGATGGAGACCTGTGATTTCAGTTTCTTAAACAACTTCTACACAAATAAATTAAATTATGAGCTAAGCCATGTTGAAAACCTTTACATATGTCAATGAAAAAACCTCAAATGACATTAAAATTTAGACAAACCAAGACCGCACAACAAAATGCTCAATTTGCTGCACCCCTTTCCAATATTATGTGGGCATGGTGGACCAGGTTTTGACTGACATCTGCTTCGTTCCACCCACAGCAGCATTATGTCATAAAATCAGAGCAGAGATGCTTCATTTGTTGAAGACGCCTGAGTCCGACTCGGATGAAAAGACAGAAGTATACTGTTTATTTCAACAATGGGTGAACAGTGATGCTTTACTGCTCATGCAGTTAGCAGATAGTATGTACATGCCATGTTAGCTGTGATGTCCTTTTCTCAAGGCTATAGTGCTGATTTATGACTGGAACTAAGAGCTTAAAGGGATATTCCAGCGTGACATTAATTTAGGGTCAAACACACTGTAACACCGAGTTAGACACCCCGTCGATAGCCGACCACTTGCTTCTCTAGTAATACCAAATTTAGTAACGACCACAGGATAACAATACACAGCGGTCTGAGGAGCCATAAACAAACCTCAACCAAAACGCCACATGATCATTACTTTATCATTTCCTTGAAGTATTAATCACCATATTAATCATTTTGCACTGCAGATGCTGTAGTTCTTCTGCCTTGTCTCAGTCTGATTGAATTTCAATGAAGAAATGATCACAAATGTTCTTCCTTGAGCTGCGTAACCCCGCTGTAGTCCATCATGGACTGGCCTGAGGTCTCGCTACAAACAAGTGACTGCTGGAGGAGAGTGGGTAAGTTGTGTTTAGTCTCTTTGCTAAAGAAATTAGGCAAAGTTAAAAAGATGTTTGGTGGCGAGTGCTATGGCACAAATTAACTTGCAAAAATCTAAACGTTTAAGTCCCGTCACTTGTTAAAATATAGCAGAAAGACAACAGTAACAGAATAATATCCAAATAAATATCAAAATCAGAGCTCCTGCTTGAAGTAGCAGTTATGCTGTGCTCGATATACCTGTCTTATTAGCTAATTCTGTATTTGTTAAGAACATATACAGTATAAAGATGGCATACTCTTGCAGGTTTTTACCCTTTTTTAAGGATTAGTAGAAAATGTTCAGACTGTTCTTGCATTTAATGCCTATTTTGCTTGTAATAATTTCATTTCTTGGTTTTATGACACATTATTTCTGCTTTTTCTAAACCCATTACCGTAATCATGTTTACCTAAGTGTTCTCATTTCCAAGATTGCCTTCTCTGTGTATTTTTGAGGCTCCATGAGGATGTGAAATTGAGAGAGGAAGTGACCGATGAGAAAAAGAATGCTGGGAAGGAAAAAACCTCTCTTTGGCCCCCAGTTTAAGGACACACCCTGGTGACATGGAGTTGACACAAATAAGTGAGTGTTTTTTGAGATTTCTCAGCAAGGAAGAAGCAGAGGTCAGAGGTGACGAGTAAAAAATAACCCTCATATTACAGTGCGGCCATAAGGGCACTGACCCCTCCCCATCCCCCCACCTCCACCCCCCGTATCCCGTCCTGAACTGTCACACACTGGTATGCTGGTTGCATCACTGGGCTGCTGTATGGATTCCTGTTCTCATGCTGCTCACTCTGCAGCTGAGAGAGAGGATGGAGTTTGTTTGTGCTGAGCTTCTTCCACAGTCAGACTGAGGCTGCAGGGCTGAAAGTAATGACGGCATGCATCACTGCCGCTCTGCCTTTAATAGCACAGAGGCCACATCAATGCAGGTACAGCCACAGAAGCTAACTTTTACCCACTGAATAGCAAAAGTAAAATGTTTTTGTGGAGGTGTGAACAACAGAAAATGGCTGCAGTGTCACATTAAATTGAGGAGTTTACACATGCAAGGTTGCGACTATATGATCTGTGGCAGAAGTTGCTTTGATTTGTAAGTTGTTTCTTTGGTGTTATGACACAGAATCTCAGACGGCACACGGACGGCAAAAAATGTGACATTAACACTACAGAATAAAAATAAGTCGACAATATTTCACTCTCCATAGGCTGAAACCCCGCTGAGCTTGAAAGCAGGTCATTCACACTCACAGTCTAGTTTGCCATTAGAATATTTTCATCCAAGAGTTTAAAACCAAATATTAAATTTTGTTCTGCTTCGATCTGAGTTTGTCTGATAAGGTCATGTGCAGCTGTTTGGGTGGGTATGACCAATACAGTAAGCGCTATAACAGGTAGAGGATGAAAAGAAGTGAGTATTGAAGGGCCAAACCATAGCGAGGCTGATGGATCAGACTAATTAGAGGTGTGGTCTTTATCAGTGATAGGTGGCGCTAGCTCACTCTCACTTCAGCTACTTCAGTCTTTAGACTTAACCTTTTTCTCGTTGGAGCTCCACCATATTGTCCAACTTTGGTCACCCTTTGCTTCAGAAAACAACAACATGGCACAGACATAAAAATAATCTCCAAACATCCGAACAGTAGTCTACAGATCAAAATGTGACGTCTTGGTGGCAAGGTTACCTTATACAGTCTATGTAAAAGAGAAGTTGAAGAGGTCTGAGAATGGTTCCTTGAGGTACCCCACATGTTCCTTGTCTAGTCAATAAAATAAAGACTTTTCCCCTTTTGTCATAGAGAAATTAGAATCGTTGAAAAGTATAGACCCAAAATCTACATAAAAATAGTATCTTGTTTCTGTAAAGCCACCAGATTCCATTGACAAAATATGGTAACTTTGCCTCACATGGTACAGGGGTTGCTTGTCCTCCATTGGTAAGGTCTGTTAGTTTGTGATCTGGGATTTTTTGATTGTAATAATTGTAAAACACAGTAATGAAATAATGTAACTGATTTAAGGAGCAATTTACTTAAAATTGTGTTTTTGTCATTGAGGTCTGTTGCCATGAGTAGAGAGGTATGTGACAGCTGTCTCTGACTTAAAAACATCTTCCTTTTTAATCACAAAGGCCTATTACTGCAGGGACCCCTTCTATAATTCTGTAACAATGCTGAAAAGAACAATACGAGCCTGAGAATTGTTTAAAGGTTTTTATATGTGCTATACTAAGCGCTATTGTCTTACCAGCCTGCAGCCAGATTCGCTCCAGCGTGGCCCAGATGTACATGGGTCCTTGGCGGCGAGTGGAGCTGAGGTCAGACACCTCGGAAAGTGCCGCCTCCAGACGGGAAGCTGCCACTGAAGATGGACTTGGGGAACCTTTAAAACCAAGTGTAAAGATAAGAAAAACCAACTGATGAACAGCTAAACTAGCAGCTGTGAGTTTTAAACATGTTTAAAGGAAAGCGCAAAGGAATCAACAAAAGGGCAGAAAAATCGAATGCTCTCTCGACTACACATTTGTGAGATGGATTTAAAAAGAACCCTCAAAAAAGTTCAAATAACAAGTGCTGAAATTTTAAAGGAAACAACTTTAAAATTCAGTAAAATGTAACACTACTTGTTAATCAGCCTCCAAAATAATCCAACAAATAACAGAGCACAACTTTCATGATTTGAGGGTTTTGGACAAAGTGACATGTGATACTTAGGAAGATACAGGTGCAGAGATGATTGATATTCCAGCTGCATATCTGTCCCCTTCCCCCACCTACACCCACATTCACCCTCTTTTTTGTTGCAGACAGGCAAACATGTTTTAATCCACAACAGGTCAAATGATGGGAGATCAAGACTGACCTTTACCTTTGCTTCTCTCTGGTATTTACCCAGCAGCAGATGAAAGGAGGACGTGTTTAACTTATAAATAATAAATTTGGCTTCATTTTTCAGTCTAGACCTCTAATATAGGGAATCATTTAACCAGAGAGAGATCAGACCTGTAGAGGCGTCCTGGAAGTCTGGCAGAGCTAGGTGGATTGAGGGTTTCCTGGCTCCGGGGCTGACCTCCACCCTCTCAGCCATCGGTATACTGCTGCTGTCATCTGTCTCACTGCAACACACACACAAAAACACACACACGCACACAACCCAGGAAACAGGAGTAAATTTTTAAAAAGGCAACAACAAAGAAACACTCACGTAAGCACAGATATTTGTCATATGCCAACAAAAACTCCTCCATTAAAAGAGACCTACTCTACTGGTTTTCACTTGTCATTACCTCAGAAAACAAACTATTTACCTTCTCTATTCAGCCCAGTCTGAAACGCTTTTGTTGTGGCTGATTCATCAGTAATATAAAGGTAGACACAGCTTGTGGGTGTTACTTTTTACACAGTTTTGTAGACATGAAATGACATAAAAGACAAAAAAACCCTAAGGCTAGCCGTCAGCACCCATATTAGCTTACACTGACTGTGGAATAAAAAAAAATCTGTAAATTCACGGGTCATTGTCTGCATCAGACTGTTTGGAGCGTCTCTGTCTGTTGACACAGCTGCACTGCAGGGGGTCTGTGTGCACATCAGATGCTGATGCAGCTGTGTTGTCGTAATAATATAAACACTGTAGGCCTACCGTTCTTAAACGCTGTTAAGTCCTAACGACCTTTGTTCACTGTTTACATTGACATAATCCACTCTAATCCACTTCTTTCCTTTTCTTGTATATAGTTTTCATTTTCATTGCATTGCCTAATCTTTTATTTTATCTTATATATAGTCTGTACCTATTATTATTTTTATTTTTTTCTTACGACTATTTTTGTACTTTTAATTTGGTCTCTGTTTTCTTTTTTTTGCACTGATAATGGAGAAGCTCTTCAATCTCATTGTACCTTCTGTATAATAACAATAAAGGGCATTCTGATTCTGATTCAATTAAATGGTTGTTCCTTCATCAAAAGCCAGTCAACATTAATCTACTGCTGTGAGCTCAATTTCAAAACTGTTAAATGTTGCATGTTTTTTTAAAGAGTCATATTTTGAAGCTTGGGGCCACCAGGCTGCTGTATTTAAGGGGTTTGAGTTGCAATGACAACAAAAAAGGAGTCAAAGTCAAGGGTCAAAATACCATTGGTGAAGGAAAAGCAAAAAGAAAATATCTGTTCTGAGTAAAAAAGCGCATACATACATAAATACAATGATGAATCTATTGTAAAATATTTTGTATAAACAGATGCGAACAGACAGTCAATCTTCACAGAGCATGTGTAGAGTCCTTCACATTAATTAAATCAAGAATCCATATTAATTAAATCAAGAGGTGTGACACAGGTGTTATGTGCCCTATTTTACACCTGCATATGGCTCCAGATGCAGCTTTCTGCACCAGCTGTGAGCTGTCTGTAAAGGCCTGGATGATGAGAAAGTACATGGAGTTGTAGGAATTATGCCACGAGATGTAAAGGTTTGGATATATATATATATTTTTTGAGCTGAAAGAAATACTCTGCTCTATGACATGAATCTGAGCTAAAAGAGGTTGGATTTGACAGTTGTTATTACATGTTTGTCAATGAAACTTCAAGCAGGAACATATATAATAAAATAATAGTCCAAACTATCTTCATCGATAAAAACTGTGAGATGATCCTGATAACAAACTAACAAACTAACAGACATCATGCAAACACACACCTGGACCGGCTGACATCATAGCGGATCTGCCAACTCTGCAGCATCTCCTCACATGTCTGCAAGGCTGCAGCCGGGCCAAACAGCGCCTCTTCAAGCTTCACCTTGGTGAACAGCAGGCTGCACAGAAAAACAACACACAACATGCACATTAACCAACTAATGCTGCTAGATTGCTGCTGGAGTCCTGTGGCCACATCAAGAGTGCATTTAGGGAAGTTAAGCTTGACTTAAACTTAGTTACACTAGTTCTCACATTTGATAAAATAAAAACACACAATATTTCAATACAAGAGAAGAACTAGTGATGTGAATTACAGGAGTGACATTTCTTCTAGTGAACCAGATCTTCTTTGTTTCTGTGTATTTTTCAAATATGTGACATCTTTTCAGGTTTTGTCATTTTCATCACAGGGTTAGCTGAAAAATCATTCTGCGAAAACAAGGAATGTTTTTGGAAACCAACAAATTTCTCTCTTTTTATTTTGAAAAAAAAAAAAAGATTAAAAAAAAATCCTGAAAAACATTGTTGGAATAATTTAGGCACAGACATTTTTGATTATTTTTCTGTAGCATTAAAATAATAAATCTAAATATAATCTATATACCTATATATATAGATCTTATTTGTATTTTCTAACCCTATTGATGTAGAACCAAAACATTGTTAATAAATATTTTTTTTTTGCAAAGTAGTCAGTAAAGGAGAGTTTTTAACATCTCTGCTTTGAATCTGGCTTTTAAAATAGTTTTTTTCCTTTTTTTAAAAAAAATAAAATATAAGCATTTATATAACAATCAACGTCTTTTAGTAATTCTCTCTGTTGCAAAGAAATTTGAGCTCCCTTTCATTTGAAAAAGCAGATTAAAAAATAGATTTCATTATTATCACCATTGTGACTCTTTTTATTACACGTGTACACAGTCATGTTTCAGACTTCCTGCAGCTTTAATACGTCAACATCTCACTGATGCTGCAAACTGAGGCTCAAAAGGATCAATGGTTACAGAGAGTGGGTAAAGATGATCACCATCTTCAAGCTCTGAGTGTGTGTGTGTGTGTGCATGTGTGTGCTAAGTGTATTTGCTTGTGTTTGTGTGTGTGTTTGTGGGTTGAGTGGCGGATGAGTGGAGTGTTTCCACTCGGCCCTTTCAGTTGAAGACAACTGGTTAAGTGATGTGGGAGTCTCTGATGAGTGTGTGAGTTTGTTTGTGTGTGTGTGTGTGTGTGTGTGTGTGTGTGTGTGTGTGTGTGTGTGTGTGTGTGTGTGTGTGTGTGTGTGTGTGCGTTTAGTAATTGCCAGAAGGAGCTCTCAGAGGAAGCAGTCTGTCATGGGCATCACTCATCCTTGAGCGAGGAGAGAGAAAGGGAAAAGAGAGACTATGATGTTCAGCATGTTGTTGAAGGCTCCTCCACTTATTCTGTGCTCTCCTGTCAGGGTGTGTGTTTGTGTGTGCCTGTTATTGTGTGTGTGAGGGTGTGTGTAGGGGTAAATAGAGGGAGGAAAGAAGGAAATGATGAAAGGATGGATAAAGGGAGGCGGGATGAGGATCAATAGCAGAGTGAGACAAGCTTGTGTCGGGGGAGAAAACTCGTTGAAAAACAGCTCGTTACTGACTCATGGGTCGGTGGACCAGCAGGGGGGAGGGTGTATGAGGGTGTGTGTGAGCATGTGTACATGCTTGTGTGTATTTGGAGAGATGGAGGGGTGCTGGAAATGAGAAATTTGAAAGTGTGTGGGAGGAAAGGAGTTGGATTTTCTGACGTGTAGATGACAAGTGCTGCTGAGGGACGTGGCGTTAAGGATAGGGAAGCTTGTCGGGCCCACAGGAGTGTGAGTGTGTGTTAAAGTGTGTGTCTCCAGGCTCCCCATTACCAGCGTGGCAGAGCATTTAGAAACACTGAGATGGTGTTAAGCCATCCTTGCGTTGAAATGTGACAGTGTGTGTAACATGCGTAAAGAGAGCTGACTTATCATCCCGTGTTTCTGAGACATCATGAAGCAACAGAAGCTGCTAGTTTTTCCTTTTTTTCAACCTTCTATAAATTCTGCTTTCATTCATAGATTAATTCAAACCACTTCAGCTTTTGTACCTTCTTCATTGGTGTGAAAAAAAAAAAACAGCCTATGAAACTTCCTGGAGATGTTTTATATAAAATTAAGTTTATGGATAGAAGCAGCTTTCTGATTAAAGAGAAAGCACATATGGCCAGCCTGTAAAAGTTTAACTCAAGATTTCTGGGCTGATTTTTGTTGATCTTGAGGTCTGAATGACTTATAAGTTGAAGAAAATGTTGGTCTTGCTCTAAAACAAATAAAGCTTGCAGCAATAATCCAGGCCGTCAAGGCTGAAGTGTGATCATTTAGAGCTAATGTGCTGATCAGAAGTTGTCCACACAGAGCTCTTGTTCTCCTCACTAACAGGCTTAGATAGTTCTTTGAAGTCTCTGAAAAAATTATGACTCTCATCAAAAAAACAGCCCGTACATGACTCTCTTCAAAGCAACCAGACACCATTAACAAAACCAGCAATTTTATCATGCCGTCAGTGGGAGTTATTGGTCTCTTGCTGCCTGACCCACTTAGTAGTTTTTTGCTATTTTGTTTCACAATACTGTTTTATTTTGTTTGATTTGGATCAACCATTTGAAATGAAAGTCATGCAATCTACTCGGCTGTGCCCAAAATAATACAAATTTGTGTTTACATTTCTTTTAAAGCACCCCCATGTAACAAAAACAAAGAAATAAGTGAACCACAAATCCAAAAGAGTTTGGTCTGTCAGGCTGTGAATACGCAAAGTTTTACTGTTAAAATTTGCATTTTAATTTGGGACCTAATGGAGTTTCCTTGGCTTTTGGAGCAAGCCTCAAGTGGACACTTGAAGAACTGCAGTTTTTGTTTTTGTTTAATTTAATTTTTTTTCAACACTGTAGGACGCCTCTGACACAACAGAAACTAACCAATGGAGACAGTCCAGCAACTCCTGTGTTCTACTGCCTTAGATTACATCTTTGAATGATGGAGTCTGCTGTCTTTAAAAAGAGCCACTGAACACTAATTTCAAACTTATCTTTTTCAAAACCAAAATAATTAAACCTTGCTTACTCAATTGTGTGATAACAGGAAGAAATCATGACTTAAACCCTCTTATATTATTATTATTTTTAAACTAGTTATAACAGAGCAAAAATAACTTTTACAGCGAAAGTATACAGAAATAGGAACACTTAGTTATAAATAGCATTCATATTCTTGATTGACTTACTCCCCTGCTCACCCCTCCTGTCTGAAGCAACGGTGGCCTTTGAGGACAAAAAGTTCCTTAGATATTTTATAAGCATGATCTTTTTTTTTTTGTTTTTTTTTGTTTTAACCATTAAATCAATGCAACCACTCTCTTTTTCTTTGGTGTTCATTTTGCACATCCTCTCTTTGAGTACAAAAAAGTGCATGTTACTAGTTGGTCCTTACTGGCTGCAGTAGAAACACAGCAGTGCAAGATGCGGGGGCCTCAGAGGAACAGGACCTAATTTCTATGTAGATACATAGGACTAATTTGCGATGGTACATTTTTATATGTCAGTGATGATACACCAAATTCAACATAATTCTAAATTCAACTCAACTCAACTTTATTTGTAAAGCTCTTTAAAACAACCACAGCTGAACAAAGTGCTGTACATAAATAGACAAAACAATGCAAACAAAAAAAAACAATCAAAATAGTGGATCAAATAAAAGCAAATATTACAAAGTGAAATATAGTTTCAATTTTTTTTCATTGATTTAAAACCATTAAAACAAATAACTAAAAACAAACCATAAAACACTAAAACAGGAGCCGAGTCTCATGCAGGGTTGAAAGCCAATGAATAAAAATGGGTTTTAAGACGAGTTTTAAAAATGGACATTGAGGGGGCTTGTCTGATTTGGAGGGGTAGCTCATTCCATAATTATATATATCATACCTATAAATACGTAAAAATATCACCTATTTAATTTCAGTCAGGTTTGTTCTGCTAAATACTGCTCATATTGACACACTGCACCTTTAAGTCGCATGTTTACACAGTGGTTGTCTTCACAAATGACTTCACAACATGGGAAAAATCCAGCTGATCTCAGTCGTCTAAGGACAGAGTATTTTCCAGCTTATTATACACCACCTGATCACAGCCAGTGTTTCCCCGCAGCTCCAGAAAAAGGTAGATTTCATCAAGATTACAGCTTTCAAACTACATATCAGCTTACAAAGGCTGTCATTTCAGCCTGCTGGGAGCAAGTTGTATGTGTGCGTGGGTGTGTGTGTGTAAGTGTTTGAGGATGTGACAGTGTGTTCGCAAAGTGTGTGAGGCTGTGCGGCAGTGAGCCGTGCAGTACAATGTAAACGCAGTGGCCGGCTAAGAGCAGCGAGCACCGGCGTAAACTCAGAATAAAAATAGCTAATAATGTTCCTCTGAAAAAGTGGTTCAGCTACAGTATTACTCACTCTGCACTCCCACAGATCAGAGTGTGTGTTCTCTGCAGGCACACACACGTGCACACATCATCCTCCTGCATGTATGTGTGTGTGTGACTAGATATATATACATCAGTACGTGCATAGAGATTAACACACATGCCTGTGCAGACATGCAGGAGCCAGGCATGCATGTGCACGCTCACCCACAGACACACGCACGCACACACTTCCCATGCTGCAACATCCCGTTAGATGAATGCAGAATCAAAGGCTGGGATTAATCATTCTCTTTAGTACAAACTGCGAAACCACGATCACTCTCTCCCCCCTTTCCTTTCCTCTCAACCCCCCCTCCTCGACTCAGCTCCCTCAATCTGTAGCAAAATCCCATTTCACATTGAAATGCATGCCTGTTTACTGGGTGATTAAAATTTCAAAGAAAGGGGAGAAATGGAGACAGAGAGATAAAAAAAAAGGAGAAAGAGGGAGCGAGAGGAGGAGAGGAAGAGAGAGTGAGGAGATGGGGATGGAGGAGGATGTGGGGGAGAGAGAGGGAGGACTTGGGAGTGCTACAGCGAGCTGACAGTTTGTGGTGCAGAGAGGCAGGGGCTAACAAGCATCACACACATGCACGCACACACACACAGACTCGCATGGACACACAAACATGCATGTGCCAGATTAGAATCTTCTACACATGTACACCCACTTCCCCCCACCCCAGCAACACACACACACACACACACACAAACACACACACTCAGACACACACAAACACTCTCATGTATGCCCAGCAACATGCCTGAGACATGCTATGATGTGTGATGCTCGCTGCAGTGCAAAATGTCATTCAACGAGCTCGTTGCAGAGAAAAAAAAACAAGTATCTCCCTTAGACTCTAAAGCCCAACAGCTCCAAAGCACATCAGTATATTGTAGGCCAGGTTTGGTCGATACCTCACCCCACCAGATATGGGTTTCCATTCAGGCCTACTGTTGGTTGTCTGCAATAAAATAACCACCTTTAGTTTTTATGATACTTTGTGTAATAAGTATCTTTAAAATCTTATCTCTGTTGTTTGACCCCAGCCTGACAGATATCATCAGGCTGATTCAGGCCTATCACTGATGTACTAGGGGTGGGAATCACTCATGACCCCACGATACGATATTATCACGATACTTGGGCCACGATACGATATTTTGCAATACAGTGAGTATTGCGATACAATATATTGCGATTTATTCAAATTTTTAAACTGTTCAGCTAATTTAGCATTTGTCTTTCCTTTATGTTTGTCTTATTTATGCTGTATTTGTTGTACTAACTCTCTCCTGCTCTAATCAACCTCATTGGACAACCAGTTGATTTTATTTTTCCATTATCATAGATTTGACTTCATATTAGCAATTAATTTGAAAAATTGATACTAGGTATATGAGACGATATGATATATCACCAGACAAAATATCGCAATACTATGCTGTATCAATTTTTTCTACCACCCTTATGATGTACTGATGCACTGTACAGCCTTGTTCACAGATGCACAAACTTTGACAGAGAGTAAGCCATCAGCATCTACACAAATAAGACGTTAAAATGGTTGCACAGTTTTCTGATTATTTCCTGTCCTATACTATGTAATGGATTTGGATCATAACGTCAACATTTCTTTTAGTATATAAGACCATTTAAAGCCATTAATTTTTTGTTGTTGTTTTATAGATGTATCCGTCTTGTTTAAAACAAACAAAAAGCACTTTTCCTGTTCCAATATCCGGTCCAGAATTAAAATGTGTATATTTAACTATTACATCGCACAATTTTGTCCAGTATCTGATGTTTATGTCCCTCCCTTCTAATGCAGAGGAGATGTGGGGTAGCTTGCAGTAGAGGGTCAAACAGTGTTTCTGTTAAAATGCCATCATGTTCAGATCAACTTGTGACTAAACACTGATTAAATGAATCCGTATCCATCTCTATTTCCTCCATAGATGATACTTTAAAGGAAAACATACACTGGTTAAAACGCAAAACCAAATGAAAGTTAGCGAGGTGTTTATGGGGAAATATCAATCAATGCTGTTCTCTATATTGATGATAATTTAAAAGTTAGCTGTAAAGTGGTTTAAACTTTTTAAAAGTACTAGTGCACATCAAGGTCACATCAGGTCACATCTATCTTGCTAGCTGATTGGTCAGACTCGGTGTCCAGGAGGTTTCATTTCTTCTGACCAACATGATTCTGTTAACTTAATTCCCCTACACTAATTACTCCAATTTTACTGCCACCTTTTGGGTTTATTGTTAATGGTTGTTGCAAATAAGGAAAAAGGCTAAAGTTCATATTTCACACCAGGTGAGACAAGTAGCAGCTTTAGCTAGACAGGTTTTTTTTATTGGAGTCCTGATCTACAACTTAACTCCTACTCTGCACAAGAAGGGAATTGTGATTTTTTTGGGCTCTTTCCAAACAGTAAAACATAAATTTTCTTGTCCAAACTAAATCGTCTTGTATCAAATTTGCATCTATTTGCATATATTTTTTTACATGTTTTCAATTGGGATACAAACAACATTGATTTACATTATCTCAGCAGAAGTTGGACAGAGAGTGAGGGGTGTAATAATGTGCCAGATGGTGGTCCCAGGTTAATGGGTTCATCATTTCATGCTGTGTTTTTTCGTCAGACAAGGTCATTAAAACTTCACCATATACCTGTCATTTCAATCTTTATTGTCAAACTGATCATGATATAGAGTCTATGGTTATTACAGGATCAGTTTCTCAACAAACAATGAAATCGTCAGCTGACCAAACTTAATAGCACTCGTTACCACGGAGCTACAGTTTAATTGAGTTTAGTTCAGCTTGTGTTAGCAACCCTTGACTGATGCAAATTAAATCACTCAATGACCTAATGCTGGTGCTAGTTTGCTAGCTGAACTTGCACCATCTCTGTTTAGAGTGAGTTCTTTAACATTTAGCGAGCATCACCTAAAAACAATCACAAAGACGCTTAGAGTGAAAAGTTTTGATGATCTGCAATAATGGAATCAAACAGATTAAAACACAAAAAAATGAGCACTGGACGAACTCAAAACTCTGGTGGAAAAACAAACATAAAGGTTGTTTTTCCAAATTCACTGCACACCTGTCTGAATACATGCATTTGGGACGGGGAGAGTGAGCAGGGGGGTTTGCTACAAAGGAGGGTTTGTAACTTCAGGGTTCACTTCTACCTGGCTAGATCCCTACAGTAAATTACTCTGTTCTCATAAACTGCCCCATAGCAGGATATGCTCCAGATTAGAGATCAGTTTATAGAAAACTCTGCCTACTGGCCAATCATATTGCTGGATTCTGGATCCCTGTGAGCTGATTGAGAGAAACAAACAGGACACTTTGTCTATCTGTCTGATTTTACATATATTAAATATAAATGAAAGTTGTGCTTGTTGAAATATCTTCTAACGGCAAACTTATTCATGTCTGTGATTCGTCAGATGAATTGCACTCTCCCCCTTTTATATGAAAGCACTCACTGTACTCTGGGTTAACTTATCTGGTTAATATCCAGCTCTGTAAGACTGCTGATCATTATCAACTTTGTTAGGGTTAGTAAAGGATAACCCAATTCAGCTGGACTCATCTCGTAGTCTGGGCCCCTAGTGAGACAGTGATCCACAATGATTTGGCCTCTACAGCAGATGTATCATGTAGCAACCATGCAAACATATAACATATATTGCATCAAAACTCTATCATAGGCCTGTCATCTTTAACCTGACACAGTTCTGTTGAACTACTCTGTCATGTCAGACCAGCAGATGTTTATCTTGTATGTTAATAAATGGATTCAAGACCAATAAATCAGTTATACCATTAATGGGCCATTAGTAAATATTAAGTCAGTAAACTATCCTCCTGTCTGCCTCCACGTCTCCCTCCCTCCCTCTCCGCTCCATAACAACAGTTTGGGAACAACAACTGATGCTGCCTGCTCTACCCGTATGACCTCATGGTTACCGGGGCGATGGGGATTCCTGGCGCAGAGAGCATTGTGATTGGCCGAGCTTGGAAAGAGCTCTTAAATGGGTCAAAGCAGTCAAGTGTCTCTACGGAGGATGTGTGTGTGTGTGTGTGTGAGATTGTGTGTGTCTGAGTGTGAGATTGTGTGTTTCAGAGAAAGACACAGAGCGTTGATTTCCTCTCTGTACATACAGCAGTGGTGAGTGAAGCCGGTGTAATTATAAAACCATCGTCTGTCCTCCATCCACCCACTCTGTCTCTGTGTTTCCTTCCCTTCACTGTTTCATCACTTCTCTTGTTTTTCTGCGTTTCCTCTCCCTCCTGATGTATGGATGCACCCCGTCTGTCTGCGCTGGGACCATGGAGGCCAACACTGACCCCACATGGCTGCTTTATGAAATGCTTTGCTGGGCTTTGCAACAGAGAGCGAGCACATCAGAAAAGATGATGCAACATCCTCACATAATACAGTTAGAAAGAAGAAACTGAGCTGGATTGTTAATGTTGATTCTCTGGTGATACAACTGAGCTTCCTGCACTGCTAATGAGTGTGAAGTGTGCTTTTGAAGGAGGGCTGACTGAAAGCCTTCCTGTGAGATAATGAGAGCATCTTTGCACAATAGCTTTGACTGAGACTTCTGTCAGCTGCCTTAAGAGGAAATTCCTGTATTTTGTAATCTTGGTCCTGCTTTCACATGTTTGGGGGTCTGACTGACTCATAAGTACAAAAACTTTTGGATTTGCTCCAGTAGACTGTTTTAACCTGCAGCTGTGAAACAGGCTGTAATGGCTTAATCCTTAAGGGCAACTGCTCCTGATCAAAGTGTGTCTACTACAAGTTCTTGTTTTTCTCACTGACAGGCTCAGATTGGTATTACCAGGGTCTGACAACATTACAGAAATGGGCCCTCTGGAGGTAGACCCCTTTGTAAGAGAAGAAAAGGATTTGTTATCTCCTGGAGGCCACCAGACATGATTGAAAATCACACCCACATAACCTAAAACCATCAGACTCAATGGTCAATCCTTTTTTTTTGGCACACAATAGCTAGGTCACAAACAATGCAGAAAAACAACAACAGAAAAACGCTATTTCTGTACTTTGTCAGGTAAAATTTAACTTTACTTTTGTCTGTGAGTCCTGAGGCTTGTATGAAAGTCATGCAACTTCTTTTTGTCACTTCAAATTGTCATCTTCCCAGGAGGCTTTCTGTAATGTTGTCAAACACTTATAAAGACAAACAAAGCAAAGACCTCTTAGTGAATCCTCAGTAGGGACGGTCCTGCAGCTATTACAGCCTGTTTTACTACAACAGGCCAAAACCACTGCCAAGCAATCTGAATCTACTGGAGCAACCCTAAAAGTTTTCAGCCATGTCACTCATGCTTTAAAAAAATCCAAACAGCTTAAAATTGCCTGAGCATCAGAAAACAATCTTCTTCTTAAATCTCTGTCTTTATTGGGGGTTTTCTCTGTAATGTTGTAAGACTCTTAAATACCAATCTAAACCTGCTAGGGATAAAAAACTAATGTTTCCTAATCAGGTGTTCTTCTCTCCCAAAGAAAGTTTAGAGTCAAGCTTTCAGTTTAAGGTTCCTCTCCAAACTACTTCACCCTTTAATGCCTTTTGTATCATATTTGGTACATACTTTTACTATGCTTTTATCAAATCAATATGATCAACAAATTACTAAAATTAACACCTGAATACAGTCCGATAAATGATAAAAATGTCTTTTGTGGTTTATCAGTTTCCAAAAAACAAACAAGATAAATATATTTGTTAAATTTCGAGTACATTTAGATTTGGGGGGTTTTCAGTAGTTAGTGAACTAAACATTTCAGCTTCAAAAAAGTTTGAATTTTCTGGCCATAATTTGTGGTTTCAGGCATTAAAGGGATAATTTCAACCTGAACTCTTCTTACAAACATCACTGTCACATGCCTGCACATGTTTTGGGAACTATTAAAAGGAGTATTGGTGTAATAATCTTTTTTCAGATATTGGTTTGAAAGCCTTTGACACAGAAGACAAAAGTTTCCAAATCATCATTGATCTAATATTTCTTAATTTTGGTTGGATCATGGAATAATAGGGACTGCATTTTCACATCAAACTTGTTAGACACCTCTGTGAAACCTGCCGACAAATTTTAAAGGTTGGACTAAAAGTTGTGACAAATATTAAACTACTCCAACAATCACAGAACAGAAAACAGTTGTTGATTCGAAGCGCTTTTGCCTTCTATGTCACATTCACACACACTGATGGCAGAGGCTGCTATGTGAAGCACTCATCAGTTTTATCACATTGCATTCACACACATTGTGGGCGCAGCCTGAAGGGGAGGGTTGGACACTTCAGCATGTGGACAGCAGGATCAAACCCCAGACTTTCAGAGTGACTCTGCCACTGAGCCACAGCTGCCCCTTTAGTATCTCCATGTGAGACCACCCTCATGTGGACCTTGAACATTTAAGGTTACAGACATTTCTATACTTGAGCTTCTTTTCTTCCCTGTTCTCTAATATGCGGATTTAAATCTACATGATGTAACCCTCTTCTGCTTTCTAGATTTTATTTTGACTGTAATAAAACTACAAAAGTAAATACTGTAAGAGATTAAGGTAAGAAAATAACCTTTAAACCCAAATGTTTCTGAAATTGTTGTAGCGCTGCTTCAGATCAAAACCGACAGCCAAAAGGTCACAGGTTGATTAAACAGCAGATCACTTAATCCCTGCCTGCCACACAGTAACTGCAGCGCCAGTTTCTGATGTTTTGACCTGAATAAAGCAGCAGGCAGGTGTTCAATTCATTAAATATGTTATTTTTGTAAGAGGACAGCACTTGACTCGGGTCAGAGCTGCAGTGTTAAAAGGGTGAGAGCGAATGAGGGGCAGAGGTACCGCAATGCAGGCCTCCCCTCCAGCACGTCTAAATAAGGCGTCAAGTGTGTTCAAGTGTGTGTGTGTGTGTTTGTGTGTGTGTGTGTGTGTGTGTGTGAGCGAGTGTAAAGCTGAGACACCCAATCCCTGTGGAGAGGACTGGTGTTACGACTGGGTCCCTCTGCACCACTTATTTCAGCTCCTCTCACTCATAAATACACACACAGAGTCTAAAAAGTGTAATCTGCACAGCTATTGATCGATCGGTTCTTTATCCTCATTTCACCGACATTTTCACCAACTTTTTCCTGTGTGAGTGGGTTGTGTTGGTGGGCTTTACTTGAAGTTGCCGGGGTGCTGGCTGAGGGCCAGGTTCAGGGTGTCCAGGGCATGGCGGTGGTGTTTCTGGGCACTCAGCAGCAGGGTCAGTAGGTGGAGCGAGTTTACGTCATCTCCACGCAAAGACAGAGCTGCCTGCAGGGGCTCCAGGGCCACTGATACCTGCCAGACACAGCTCAGGTAAGATTTACAGCCTGTGACATTTTGGGATTAGAAAAAAACAAACAAATCTGTGCACCAAGTCTTTTACCTGACGTATGAGAGCCAGCTGCAGAGACAGATACATGGCGATCTGAGCGTCCTGAGGGTCTAATGAGTGAGCCCTGTGCAGGAGAGTGAAAGACCACCTGCTGGGTTATATCACGTTAGCAAGACAGCGTGTATCTGATTGATATATGCATCAAACTCTCAAAAAACCCTGTAATCTGTGCTGTGAAATAAAAGTTTACAGCCATTCAAGTGTCTCTTTGAGTTATAGAGTCACCAGTTTATGGATGAGTTAATGACGCCGGATATTGAAGGCTATAAAACCACAAATCTAGAAACGACACGACTATGAGCTGAAATAAAAGGAATGTCAGAGGTTGTTGAAGATCTGTATAAGAGACAAATGATCTTCAATATAAAAACTGTGAAAGCATCATCAATGAGTTTCAAGTGTTCGCATCATGTATCATCAACATTCATTTCAACATTTTCAATCATTTCCAGAATTTATATGATTTACTTAAATCTATAAAGTTTTATTTAATGTGAACCCCCTTCATTTTCTCATTCTTATACTAATGATGGGATAAAGTATAGTAAAGGGAGTCCAGTTATTTTGGTTTGTTTGGTGTTTATATCGATTTTTACCAGGTTAATAAAGGTTCTCATGACTAAAATACTTTTAAAATTTGATTATTGTTTCTTTAAATTTACTGCTTTAAAGTTTATTCCAGTTCTTTGAGTTAATTTTAAAAAAAGAAAAAACAAACACTGCAGTTAAACAGCGCCACAACCACTGAGCAATAGACAAATTTAGACGTTGCACTTTAAGCCATTATTGGATAACTTGTTATTTCAAAAAGCAACTGTGAGTTGCATAACTGATCTCGAAGTACGTAACCAAAATAATTTTGATAGTCATTGAGCAATAAACAGTGTAGTATAGATATAGCCCAGATTTAGATTTAGTCTAAACTCAGTCTAAATTTAGACGTCTAAAAAACTTTCATTTTTAGACCTGTGGTAGTCTGATTTTAGACCAGTCATCTAGGCTACATTTAGACGTCTATTAGACCTCTTTTAGCCCAAAATATGCTCAGTGGGCAACTAGACAAGTCATAGTGGATTATGCAGATTATCTAATGCTATGCTTTAAACAACAAACTCCATCAAACTAAGGAACAGTACACACTTTTTAAACTGATACAAAACAAAAACAAATAATGCGTCCTTTATCACTGACTACCATAAAGTTTATGTAGTTTTCTTTTTGAATATCGATCTAATTGGAATAACATCATTTAGCAAAATCAATCTGGATAGCAGTATGACTCTAGATTTCACTGTTGCTCAGACAAAAACAAATGCAAACACGTGATAGAAAACGGACGATTGGGGAACATACTTGTTCAAAGCTTGAAGTGCTCGTTTGTTGAATTCATTGCGATCGGCCTTTAGGGTGGCTGCAGACAGACACAGAGACACAATGTTCACTCTTTATTTTATGCAGACAATGATGTTATAAAAATGTGCAAAAATATGAAATCTTACGGATGTTTCATCCTTAAGTTTGTTAACATGTTCTTACCTTCAGAGGCCTGCAGACTACAGCTGAGCCCCAGAGCCAGGTAGGCTCTCGGTAAAAACTCTCCAGCTTCTTCCCCCATTGACAACACGCTCTGCGACAGGGCCTCTGCCTCCTCAAACTGCACACACACAAGCAAAGTCACTTAATCAGTTCTTGCTAAATTCTAGATGAGTTGACTTAAAGATGTCTCAGAAACACAGTAAGCGTTGGTTTGAAAATAAAACCTCAGTGAACATTTTTTTAAATGAGTTTACAGCAAAAGAATCTTTAATTTAAATTTTTGATAAAACTTGATATTATTTCTGTGAATGATGGACCCATTTAAAGTCAAATAGGGTATAAAAAAGGGCAGGCTACAAGCACTCGACAAGTCACTACAGTCGTAAAGTGAAAAAAGAAGCAAGCTATGTTATCATCATTGAGATATATTCGATTGGATATTATTTATCTGATATTTGCATAGATAATTTCCAAAAAGGCTGCAACTCCACAAACACAGCTGAGAGGTTAAATTCAGTGGTTGAATGAGCTGAGATTACAACACGCAGAACGTTAGCAGCTTGCACCTGCAATGCAAAAAAGCAACGCACTAATTACGCATGATTTTTTTTCTTCATATAACAGTTGAACTGTGAACATGGATTCTGAAAAACGGCTACAAGGGCCAAACTGTTTAAAGAGGCTGTGAATATGTTTATTTCAGCTGCTCAGTTTGACATCTTAATAATAATAATAATAATAATAATTATAATAATAATGCATCAGATTTCATATAGCGCTTTATCAGAGACCCTCAAAGCACTTTACATTGGATACATCACTCATTCGCTCACACAGTCACACTTTGGTGGTGGTGGAAACGTGGCTGCCATTCTGCGCCTACGGCCTCTCTGACCACCACCACACAACACTCACAATCATACACCAGTGGAGGACACACACTGGGAGCAAGGTGGGTTAAGTGTCTTGCCCAAGGACACAACGGACAGACTTGGATTAGGGGGGAATCGAACCGCCAACCTTCCGGTCATTGGACGACCGCTCTACCTCCTGTCTTAAAGGGATATTCCGGCGTAAAATTAATTTAACTAGTACTATGGTTAGGACTGTATATGTACTGTTGATGAAGTTAGGTTCTGTTCTGAGCATTATTTGTGTCTATAGAGTGGCGTTTTGGTTGAGGTTTGTTTATGGCTCCTCAGACTGATGTTTATTGCTATTGTGTGGTCGTTACTAAAGTTGGTATAACTAGAGAAACAAGCGGTCGGCAACATTCATCTCTTGAGGGGGTGTCTAACTCGGTGATATGGTGTGTTTGACCCTAAATTAATTTTACACCAGAATATCCCTTTAACACCGACTCTACAAGGTTTCGCTCATTTTTAGAGTGAGCCTCAAGTGGACATTTAAGGAACTGCAGTTTTTGGCAATCAATAATGCTATTTTATTCACAGCCAAAATAAAGTGTTCCTTGGCTGCTTTCTGAAAACTAAAACAAACATACTGAATACCTCAGTCACACTGGATGAAAGATGAACCTTACTAGCCCAGCTTCAGATGAGCTAACCCTTTGTCCTCTCTAGGTTCACAATCTTATCCAAATTTGATTAATTCTAGTTATGAGGAGAAAAATTTGCGATGCTAACACGTCAGACAGGTCTCAGTGGTCACATCACTTTCATATACAGCATATGGTCTACAGTTGTCTCTTGCTGCTCTGTAAACAGGACCTGCAGTTTCCTCCTCTCCTTGAGTGTGTGCGAGGAGACAAAAATGTGTGTTAGGTGCAGCAGGGAATGGAGTCTTGATGTCTGAGCGTGCTGTGAGTTTAGTGTGAGGACAGTCAGAGTAGATTCAGCTGAAGGACGACGCAGAGTTTGCTGAAGGACACACACACACACACACACCCGCCCACACACAAGCAGCAGACTGCAGGCGGAGTGTGTGGTCGAGCAGAGGAGAAAGTGTGTCAGAGTGTGTGAGGTATGACTGGTGGAGGGCGGGGGGCAGGTGGGTGTGGAGGGGGGGTTATATCTTTGACAGCACGCCAACTGCTCCGACACCCTCCTCCTCCTCCTCCTCTTCTTCTTCTTCTTCATCCTCCTCCTCCTTCTCTCTCCTCTCTCTCTGTCTCTTTCTGTGAATCCAGCCCTCAGTTCAAAGCCAGCACACAAAAGCAGCCTTTTAAACACAGTGCACCCATGCACATCTGAGGAGGATTAGGTTTTTTCTCTTTGACTCTTGAATGGTGTGAAAGGAGAACATGCAGTTGCTGTCGGGTGGAAACCTTGCATCTGCAAAACTGCTCTCCAGGAATTGAAAAGAGCAGTTTTGCTCTTAGACAGCACAGTGTGGTGATGTCACAGGTCTGCACAGGGTTTCATGTGATCAGACATCCTCTGCTGCTCCACATTCATGGACAGAGGCGTTATAGAAGTCAGGAAACAAACACAATTTCTTTGCATTGGAAAATTAAAGAGAGGGAGAAAGGATTTACTAATGCGAGGAGTTTTTATATCTGGTTACGAAACAGACTGGAGTTTATACGGACGCTTCTATATAACCTAAAAAAACAAACCCACAAAGAAGACGACTGATTTATCTCTATGCACATACTTTTAATGCCTGTAGCTGCCGCCACCTGGTAGACGTGGATGAGGAGATTAACAGCAGACTGCAGAAACAGACTTTGTTTACATTCTCAGAGCATAGATTCACTATGAGCAATACATCAGATTTTTCTAAAGAAAACAGGAACACACTACTTTGCACATATACACACCAAGATCAAACGAAGAGAAAAGAATTTCTGCCTTGTCAACAGGGGGCGCCAAAGTCAACACCCAATGAAACTGCTGACTATCAGAAATGAGACTGATGATGTCTATTTGGCAGATTGAACCATGTGTAACTTCTGTGGGTGGTCAATGTAAGACCGGAGGAATGACAGCATGCAAAAAAAACAAAACTATTTTTGCTTCTTACACAGCAAATAATCAAAGTTACCGACACGTTTGTCTGTAAAAAGAAAGCAGGATAAGACTTTTGCCAGTAGACACGTGGCCGGTACGTACAGGACAAGTTCCTCACAGGAGCTTTACTAAAGTGAAGTCAGATGTCAGAGATCTTCCTCCATGAATTTACTCATGTTTAGACCGAGTAATTCAACTTAAACCTCCTGTCAGTAACTTTTGGTTTGTGTCATTTTATTGCCCCTTATGTCAAAAAGAATTGCGGTGGGGACATGGTTACTATTGTGCAGCATCACCTCGTTTTTAACAACACTAACATTTCTGGACCAAGGATACCAGTCACTGAGGTTCTGATAGTGAAAAGTCCTGATCTTGCCTGATACAGGGTCTCCTTTGTTATAATTCTTATGTCATGATACACCCAAGGTTTTCAACAGGTGACAAGCTGAGACTGCCGACAGATTAGCAGGACTCTTCTCCTACAGAGCCATGCTGTTGTATTACAAAAAAAATACAATAAATCCACATCCTATTGCTGTTTTATGCAAATCAGCACTGGGTGGCAGCATGTGTTGCTCCAGTACTTGTATTGTTCAGCATTTATAGTGTCTTCCCATTGGAACCCCCTTAAGAGGTACCTGTTTTTCACTTCACCTTGGTCCATCTTAAACAGACTTGAGCTCTGAGGAGTCACCAGCGTTTCTGGATCATGTTTACATACAGTATACCCTTTGCATGTTTCAGGTTCAGCCTGCATTTGTGGATGAAATCACAAACTGAGTGTATAAGTAGTGTTTTTGAAAGTGATTTTGGGCCCATGCAGTGCCTCCCACTGCAAAGAAAACCACCAGATTCTGTCTTTAGTAACACTTCACACAACTATTATAAAACCAGGGTTTTAAATTGTCAGATGTTACTCCTCATACTTTAAATTCATGCCTGTTATTTTAATAGTAATAATTTTCCACGCTCTGACAGTTTCACTTTCTTCAGCACTGAATTATTTCACTTCGGAAAACAGCGAAAATTCTCCCCTCTCATATTTGGCCTTGTTGGCACTTGTGTGGTGCCACAATGAGCAAAAATAACAATGTTGCTGGGTGGATTATGGTTCTGACTGTCCAGTGGAGCTGATGGTGGATAATGGTGGCCCATTTATGTAATGCCCCACTGCACTATGGCTGTAGTGTCCCATTGTGATTAAGGCTGTAAGCTCCTTAGTGTCTCCGGCCTGCCATGATCTCCAGCCTCTGACAGATGTGCTCTATCCACTCGCCCCGTTAGCTCCTCTCTCCTAATCTCTGACCCCTTTCTCTCCCTCTCTCTGTTTGTCTCAACCTCACCCATTCACCCACCCTCCCTCTTCTCATGATGTCACTCTCTCCCTCCTGGTCATAAACAGCAGGACTTTTCACCATGGTCCATATCTGCCTTAGTGACCCTAGTGTCAATCCTCGAACATTCGAGACACAGTGAAGCGTGGCTGTGTTTCAGCTGCTCTACTTCTAGAGACACATTTTTAAACCCAATTTCACCTTTGAGCTCATCACCAGGAGAGGAGGCAGCTTTTACTGGACATTGAGCACACAGAGATTAGAAAGCTGACTGTAGGTAATGATGTGTAGATATGTGGCACATCTGCAGTTCCAGATATTAAACAGATTTACAGTATGTCTCTAAAATCTTAAACTTGACTTCTGTTCAGTTTGGTGTCACTATTCTGTTGACAATTATTGATGGGTTACTGAAGTCTGTGACCTCTTCAAAGACAAATGATCTCATATTTCCCTCCCTGTTTTTTTTAAGCTGGGTTTATAGTGTGAAAACTGTTGCAGTTGTGTGGCTGGACATTCAGTGCACAGAGGTTTATTCACCTGAAGAACTAAGGGATATTTCAGGGACTCTTTTTCAGCTCTGTGCACACCTAAGCTTGAAGGGGAATAACCAGCATCCCAAATTATGTGGCACACTAACTGAATACAGAGATGCATTTATTTGTGGCACAACAAAAAAAAAAAATACTCGAAATTGTAAATTGTGGTTTGAAGAGATGCAGCAGTCTGACGCAAAGGTTGCAATGAGACCTGGTACATGTAGAAACTAAAAGCATAGATCTACACTCATCTTCACATGAAGAAAACTCTCTTTCACACGTTAACTTCTGATTTCCCAAAGAGAGCTTAATACTGCATGGTGTGCAGTAACGTGATTGAACACAAAGAAGTAACACAGCGCAGGAGAGTCAGGGCTTTGAGCTAAATGCTAACATAAACAAGCTTATATGCTGACATTTGGTGTACGTGGGCTCTATTCACTGTTTGGAAAGGCGTGACTTTGAAACCATTAAAAGCTTCACACCCGCAGGTCTGTAAACTCAGCTTGAAGCATTGAGTTTGGCATCTTATGTTTTGTGGTGACCATTTTTGGAGGAGATGGTCAAAATGCATTTCATCTGTCTGTGATTCTACATGTGGCAACATTTCAGTGTCAAGTTGCCCCGCCTTTATAAATCCCCTTAATATCAGACAAATGATGTAAAATCACAGACTGACAATAATAACATGGTTCACTTTGCTTTAACAGAACCTCGGAGATGTCTGACTTTCAGTTAGACGGCACATCAGCAGACATTTTCACACTGCAGCTGCAGTAACTTGTCAAACACAGGCAGCTCTGTCATAAACTCTCCCCTTATCTGAGGTCTGTTTGGCTCTAAATAGGTCTATAATATCATAACTATCAAAACTGGAGAATGAGACCATAAACTCAAATGTTTGCTGAGGTCATGAATTAAAAAAGGAGTGGGCTTATTTTCTGATAGATTTCTACAGAACCAGGTTTCTTCTACAACTAGCAGTCATTTACTAGCATTTGTCCTCTTTGTATCCACAGTCTGTGTCACCATGTTACAGTATACTATGCTAATATTGGCTGATTAGCATGCTAAAAAATATTTTTGTAAAAATGTTAAAATAATAATAATAAATATATATATGTGAATTGACAGAGGTATTATCTTTGTTGCTGACTTACAAAAAAAAATCTCTACTTCTAAGTTACAAATGATTTTTAAGTTTGTAGAAACCTTCCACTTACATATAAAGGAAATGTAATGGTAACAAAAGCCACTTCAAGAGGCATTTTACTATTACTATGGGGTTCTTTGGTTTTCAACAGAACAATTACCCTCTATAGATGGGGTAGAAATAAAAAGTTATAAATGCACTACAAGACATAAAAGAAATGACCTTGATAACGAACAGAAAACAACCTCTCAGAGAATGTTTTTTTCGCAATCCCTAAATTACTTACTGCAATACAACTGCAATATTCTTGGCTTTTTAGTGTATAAAATCACTTTCCAAAATTAACAAAATTTTATATGAAAAAATAATAAACAAATTTCTCTTTTAAGATTTGTTAAATGATAAATAAATGTGATTTCTGGCTAAAGAAAAGGGGCACATATATCTCTTATTTCAAAAATTTAACAAAGTACTAGTAATCAGAATACCCAGAGATGAGGGGAACTTTTTTGTCGGTCACTGTTAATCTGGTGTCCAACAACATCATTTCATATTATGAAAATTTAGAAATATCTGCAACAGACTGGATGAAGGATGAACCTTATTACAGCTTATTACAGCTCCTCTTGAATGTGTGTCACAAATTTCATATCAATTCCTAAAGTGTCAAGATGTCAAGATATTTCAGCATGAACTGAAAGTGAGGCTAGCTGACCTTACCTCTATGGAGTCCTGACGATATCAGAGGGGACACAGTTGTACAACTAGATGGTAAAAGTTGAAAGAATAACTTAGATTTTTTACGATCGAATTATCTCTCAATAGGCACTACGGTCATTTCTCCACCCTCAGTGAAGATCCTGACTGCTCAGGGTGAAACCAAAGATTCAAGGGTTAAACTGCGCTGTAAAAAGTTAAAGCAAATACTTATAGATTCTTGTCAAAGGTTATTTAATTCAAATAACTTTTAGACAAATGTAAAAGTGGCTCTTATTCAAATATATGCCACTAAACACTCAGAAATGACCTTTTTGTCAAACATGAGATCCATTGTGTCATCATTTTGATGATCAGATCTGTTATAAATGTAGAGATAACCACATGCTGCTGCTCTGCTGTATCCGCCCCTCAAAAACAGGAGTTAATGGAGCAGCATGTGGCTGAACAGACAGGAGAACAGCTCCACCTACAGGGAGTCATCTGAATTAAACTCAAAGGTATCACAGCAACAAGTTTCTCTGCATAATGTGGAGCAAAATCACCACAGCAAAAGCACTGTTAGAATAAGAATAAATCCTTCCTCTGAGCCTCCGGCTGTTTGTGTGTTTTGTTTTTCTTTTAATATAAAGTGTGTGTGAATGCTTTGTGTGTATTCACCCAGTGCAGCTGACCAATGCAGACTTTAGCAGCCAATAGGGGCAACGAGGGGTCCTCTGGTCTCATCCTGCTGCATTCTTTAAATACAGACACTGCACCGACACCCTGTAACACACACACACACACAAACACACACACACACACACATATGACTAAACTGAATCATGTTGGCACAACAACTACTAATGAAATGGAATTGCTTTTAATGGAGTGAATCAAACACACATCATCTGTCCTTACACAGCCCTATTAGACCCATTTAGACACACAGTCACTTAATACATGTAGGCCAATCATTAATGGACCACATGCACGCTCTCACGCACACACACACCAGCACACACACTCAGATGGCCCTAAATAGAAGTGGATATGACGACGCTGAGGCGGCCCCTACTCCTTCTAGGGAGCAGCAGCCTATTTCTAGAGCTCTCCATTGATCTGCAGTGTCACTTTATCCTGCAGCCCAGATCAATGTCTCTGTCTCAAACACACACACACACACACACACACACACACACACACACACACACACACACACGGAGGGGACTGCTAGCTATTTCAGCTTCTGCGAAGGATTTCCATTTTGCAAACGAATTAAAAACATTCAACCTCACCTGGCTGCAAATAGACTGAAAAATATCTCAGAATAATTTATAATAACTTTTTTTTTTAGCAGCAGATGACACCAGGTGCATGAAGACAAATGCATCATTTGATTCATAAATCAACAGATGTATTTGTAGACTACTTTCAATGTATTTTAAAGACGTCATTACAATAAGACACTGACTTTCTTACATCTATCTGTGAATGCTATTTGTTTTATGTCTGGTGAAAAGGGTGAGTAAAGAGCAATACAGTGTTAAGTAGAGGGGTATGGTGGCAGAAGATGGATGTCTCCTTCGGGTGTGTCTTAGTGTGTCATGGTGTGTGTGTGTGTGTGTGTCTGTGTGTGTGTGGCTGGTATTTAAGGAGAAATGAGCTCACCTTCCCGGCTGCCATGAGTGACAGGCCCAGCTGGTGCCAGAGGTGGAACTCGTTGAAAGAAAACTTCATAGCTCGCTCCAGACACTGCAGACACACAAATAAGGTAAAATGATAAAACTCCTGCAGGTGGGATGCAAACAGAGGGCACAGATGAAGGCAGAGAGTCTGACCAGGTGAACCCAGTTTGTGAATGCATCCTTGTACTTTTTGAAGTTGAATTCTGGTCTCTTTTTTTGTTCCCTTTGGCACACCAACCCAAATCGATCAAAAAGAGCTGCCAGGTAAAAAAAACGGCTTAAACTCCCCTTAAAGTAAATGTGTCTCATTTTAAAAGCTACTAAACTGACAGGTCGCTCCTCTGTACTACTTCTTATTAGCTTGAAATGACTGTCAGCCCCCCCTCAGCACCCACTCAGCACTGCTTCAGTCTGTAATGATGTGATTGATGTGTATGTGGACAAGCGGTGGATGGCGTGGAGCGCTCTCAGTCAGCTGGTGTCAGTCATGCAGAGGTGAACTGAAGCAGGAAAAAGCTGTGAGTAATGTTCTGATTCAATAATGTGCGATAAGCAGAGAGGTTTCTGAGTGTTGAACATGCAGACAAAGACATCCTGCTGCACGGAGCTCAAAATACTCTGGTGTTACGTTTACATCTGGGTTTATCGTAAAGTAAAAACATGACTGAGCTGAGTATGAGTTAAATATACAGCAAAACTGCGATCTGTAGCTGTTGCTGCTTCAAGCATAATGGCACTGACCTTTGTTAACCCAGCTAAATCTGCCTCTACACTTAACAAAGCCCAGTTTAACCTCGCTCAATATGTAGAGCTGGGCCTAAAAACTGACAGTGGTGTAAAACTCCTCAGTACAACAACAGTAATGGATAACTACTCAGTTTACTTTTTCTGTTTTCTTTTATCATGAGGTTTACAAAACTTGTCCTTTTCACTGTCATGATACTTCCTAAGATTCATTTTACAACATAAAATCCTGAAAAAGGTAAATCCTCATTCACCTTCAATATAAACCTCCAGAGTGTCTACAGCTGCCATTTCTGTTTGACCTAATTCTTACTCTCATTTAGCAAATTTAAGCTTATTTGTTAAACACACATTTCAAAACACTGATCAAATGTTATTATATGAAAGAAATCATGGACCTGTGCTAGAGAGCTGTTTAACTTTTATAAAAGATGCGCTTTAGGAGCGTTCACATTAATATGCTGCAGCTGCTGCTTTTCATGAGTGGTGGGAAAAATGTGTCATCACTGAAGAGGATGTTAACATTACTCGACAGCAGCAACACTGACAGAGTCTGCAGACATCACACTTTTGGGTGATCAAACTCTTTAAGCCCGAATATGTCCTCTTTTTGGGGGGGCTGTCCGGCTTTGTCTAGCTGTGTCCAAAGAAGTTTATAAAATTCTTCAAATGTCCGTGGTTTTGTGCGGAAGTTTTGAATTTGTGTCACGTGGACTTGCTGAGTTGGAAGCGCATAAAAAAAACACTCGCTCCGACCCGAAAAAATCTCAAAATTTACTAAGTGCGACTCCATGAGTCCGCCCCCGTGTAGTCGTGTCCTCTTTTTAGGGATTCAGAATATGGTCACCCTATCATACTTGTTTTTAATCAGCCTTTTGAACCCAGATTTCAGTGGACGCTGACTGTTTTAAAACACCATTAATCAGCCCAGTAAATTGGCCTGACTTGTTAATCGTCAATCATAAATCTCTATTTTTGACATCAGATCATTTAAAGTCTCCTGTGAGGAACTATCAGTTTGTGTTGAATCTGGCGCCCCCTGTGGAGATACCAGTATCTCTTATCTCAGCCTTATTTTAAAGAAGACCTATTCATTTTCCATCTTTTATCATGTGAGTCCAGGACACATAGAGTAGTTACTTGATAATTTTATACTGACATAGGTGACAATCATCCTTTCAGCACTTATAAGCTTCTAAAAATGCTTGATTTTGACATCAGGTTCAGGCCAAACCTTGAAGTAAGCAGTTTACAAAAGCAAGAAAACACATCTGTTTTTAACATCTGTGTTTCACACTTAAAGATTAGATATACTTTCCGTATTTCTCGGACTATAAGGCGCACTTAGAATGCTCAGATTTTCTCAAAACTTAACAGTGCGCCTTATGTATGATTACTTGTGTTTACTGACTGGTTTTACGTGGTACAATGCGTTTAAAAATCTGTTGAAATGTGTAAGTACGACTTTGGTAAGCAACAAAGCCGCTCTGCTCAATGGATATTCGGAACATTACAGTACGCTGCGTCACTACCCGATCAACCCCATAACAGGACCCCTGTAATGTCTTAGCTGAAAGTGCATTCATGTAAAGCAGCCCGGGCCTGGAGTATGCGCTAGCAACAATAAACCAATCAATGCTTAATGCGCCTTACAATCCGGTGCGCCTTATTGCCCGAAAAATACGGTTATTGATCCCCTACTGTGGTAAATTCTCTTGTGACAACAGAGATGTGATTGTATAAATCAAAGTTAAAAAAAGAAACTTTACAGAGTTTGGTTTGGGTATCTAACATTACACCATTATATGTACACCGTATATTCAAATATGGACTAAATGAGCCCAAATGTATAGAAAGTGCTGTTTAGTTGTATCTAATCTAATCTAATCTAATCTAATCTAATCTAATCTAATCTAATGCTGTTACTCACTTTGTTTCAAGATGAGTAACAACATGAAACATCAGTAAAAATATCAGTCTGAATCATAACTAGTTAAAAAATCCTCAAGAGAGCTTTAAGTCTGTTTTTCTGCACATAGACAAAAAACTGAGGAATTCTTTCTATTTGTTTTTCTGTTTGAAAACAACATGTTATTTATAAAACTCATGATGAGATGATCTCCTCACAAGCAGATTAACAATTTAAGCCGGTCCTGTAGTCGTTGGGTACAAAGTGTTTATACAAAAAATATCCAAAACAAAAGAGGTCAATCTGTATTATGGAGATACAAAGTCTTCTGGTTTGATTTAATAATTCAGTATTTATATTTAAAATGACCCTGAGAGAAATAGGTTGACTGTGTTTTCATCAAATACATGAATGAAAACAGATACAAATACATGAATCTGTACTGCTTTCCTTCATGTCACCACAGGATTTGAATAGTTTTTCCATTATAAGCCCATGTTTTTCTGCAAACTGTTAAAATCGGTGCAGATTTTCCAGGTTTCCTTGAATTATATTCCTAGAAATGCCGAGTGGTTGCTGTTGAAAGTTGTAATTGAAGTATTGTGTGTTTTTCTGATTTTTAATCTCTGTAAAACATTTTCCTGAAGGAGAATTCAAGTACTGGTATAACTTATAAGAATATAACATGTATGCAAACATATAATATACCAGCTGATTATGGATGTTTGAATCAGAGCCTGCAGGAGTCACAAAAGCTTCAGTCAGCAATCAATCAATCAGTGTGAATCCTTTTATCACGTCAGAGGCAAATGACACCCCATCGTTGATAAATGACCCACACCAACTACATATCAGCCAAGTGATTCACAGTGTGCATGTGTGTGTCTGTGGCTGTGTGCGAGTGCATGTGTGGTCCTCCTTATTGGATGACTGATTCCGTCTATGAATCAGTCCGACAGGTGGACAAACCTAATTTAAGAGTGACCCCTTTAACCTCCAGCCCCACGACTTATAATAGGTCACAATAGGAGAGCTTGTAAAAGTGACATGAAGAAGGAATTTGAAGCAAGAGAGTAACATAAGAGAGAGGAAGAGAAAGAGGATAAGAAAGAAGAGAAAAGAGAAAGAGAGGAGGAAGTCTGTAAAGGTTTTGGAAAGACAAAGCTCTTATTTCTCACATTTCATCTGTCTCATGACCTCTTGCATCAAGTGTGTGTCTGTGTGTGTGTTTTTGTGTATGTGTGTGTGTGTTTGTGTGTGTGTCAGCATACCTCAGACAGCATGCCGTACTGCCCCCTCCTGGCCATGCCGATAGTGAGCAGGTCGTACACAGAGCTGGCATCCTGTAAGCTGGCCTTGCGAGCTTCGGCCTGGTCAGGCAGACGACTGATCACCGCCTCACCGCTGGCCTGAACAGAGACAGAATCTGAGTGATGAAGAGGAGGAAGAGCAGGTAGAGGAGGAGGAGGAGGAGGAGGAAGAGGAGAAAAACTAAGGGAGGGAAATTTTCAGGCTTTTTTTGTTTGAGTTTGGGAAGGAAAAAGGAGCAAGAAATATGGAGTAAGCAGGGAGGAGGGAGAGTGTGTGTGTGTCTTACCATGGACTCTGTGATGAGCAGCAGCAGCACAGCCTCTTCCACCACGTCCTGAGGGCAGAAACAACTGCAGGGACATAGGAAACAGGAAGTAGAACCACTTAGAAGAAGTCTATCTGTCACACAAACACACACACACAAACACACAGAGCCTCAGGTCGACTGTCAGATTGCTGCGAGTGTCCAGTTTCTGTCTAATTGTGGAGCTGTAACACAACGCGAACCACCTCAGGTATATCACTACACAGCACTATCTCAAATGACACACGCACACACACACACACACACACACACACACACACACCTGCAGGCTCCTTCTTTCCTCTCTCTCATTCATCACTTTCTTCTCCTCCCCTCCCTCTGTTTCCAGACGTGTTTTCAAAAAGAGGAAACTGATGATTAAAAGGCACAAACACAGGGAAGTACACCACTCCTCAGGGTGAAGTCTCCTGTTCCTCCTCTCTCTAATCTCAGACATGGATTTAGATCTTCCTGTATGATAGTGTGGGCAGGATTAGTCATGTGCTTCTGACTAAGTATGGCTTGCAGGGCCTGGGCAGCGAGTGCAGGAATCTACAAACAGGGACAGGCAGACATAAAGCTCGAACATGTGGACAGAGTTGAATGTGATGAGAGCCAGTCGGTCATGATGTGACTGTTTAATGTATTTTTACTGGTCTGGGTAAATTCCTGACACTTATGTATAATATATGTTCGGGTTGATTGGTAGAATTTCAATTCCAGTGGATTCCTGAGCAAGACGGTGACGGTGTCTGTAAGGATGACGAGCTCAAACAAAGGATTGACGAGCGTCAACAATATTAATGAGCCAAAAACTGCCGGGCTAAACAGAGAGTGACATCAGTCTGTGTCATGATAAAACACGTCTGTGTGTTTAGGTGATAAAGATGAAGGCTTGAGAAGGCTGAATGATCAGTTTGAGTTTCAGCCTGTCATAATAATAGTGGTGGAAGGGCTCAGATCTTGTACTTTCAAATTCACTGTGTAAAAATGTTAAAGTCTTGTCTTCAACTGATTTAAAACATTAAGTCAAAATTAAGTCAGAGTTTTTAAAATCCACTGAAGAACTAATGGAGTACTATTACTGCTGTATTAATCCAGCTAGACCAACACTAGGCTTTTGTAAACACAAACAATAAATGACTTTTTCTTTTATTTCTTTAATTTTTTTTTGTTCAAAAGTGTTCAGAATATTTGAGTTATAAAGAGTGTTTGAGTTAAGTTCAGGCATGTAATGAAAATGTCATATCATGCATGTTTTTGACCTACATATTAACCGGTGATTATTTTTTACCATAATCAAGCAGCCCTTGACATGTCTCTGCATCTTGGCCTTGGCAACACCTTGAACATTTTTCTTGTATGATTTCTATGATATTCTTTTATTTAAATATTGTTATTGCGCTCTGTTCACCCCATTTAACAGCAGGATTGCTGCTTTGTTTTCAACTACCGTACTTTTATGTTTATTGAATTCTTTGTCTGTGTAATCTTTCTTCGCTATAAACCTGACTCTTTTTCTGACTCAATCCTACAGGATTTCAACTTCTACCTAAAAAATGAAAAAGTTGCATACAATTCTTTTGACACTGCTGATACCCAAAATAACAAACTATAGCAACAAGGATTACAATTAATGATGCAGCTTGTTAAGTAAGCACAACAGTGAGGTTTTTCAGCATTTCTTCAATGTGCCTGAAAACTTTGAAGACAAACTGAGAAAAACTACTGATTTCTAACACTGAACATAGTTCTGAACACCTGTCCTGTAACATACAAGTTGCTGTAGTTCTCCCCTTTCTGACACTGTGGAGCAGCATCCTATGGTGCATGAAACTAAGGCACTTTGAAAGTTACAAATACTGGAGTGGACTCACTTGAGACAGGCCACAAGGAATCTATAATGTGTCGCATTGAAATGCATAACTTTGCACCATAAATATTCATGTTTACAGTCTGGTACAAAAATGTTTTTTGGTATAAAGATTAATCATTAAGTTAACCTTCAGTAAATTCTACAGTTTGACAGAAAATTTGAGGAAAAAGCGTTAAACTTTTCATATTAGAAAAATTAAAAAAACTGACCCATCCGTGTTGTATCTCTGCGGTGGTTTCACAGTGGGGTAGATGGCGTCCTTGGAGGCAGCGGCCCCCTCTCTGTGGAGCCATGCTGAAGGAGGGGGGCCAAGAGGGGGCCAGTAGCTGTCCTCACTGACAGAGCTCAGCAGAACCTCTGCTAGCTTCCTCGCTGCAGCCTGAAGATAAACGCCACCGAAGATAAACTTTCACTTGAATATATTCACAAAAAAAGGGAAATCTTGACAATCGAAAGTCAGTAGGATGAGAACTGTGGGACATCAAAATTGGCACAAACCATTAAATTTGGTTTCTCTTTTATTCTGTTTTGATGATGATGATGATGTTAGGCCTGTTGGGCTGTTCTAGGCTCAGTAGATAATTGATGCATAACATAACTATCCAATCAAATCATCCTGATTAAGCAGGAACATTTTTAGCTCAAACTTGGATCTTCAGATTCATATAAAACCTGGAATATTTGTGTTTTTTTTATACTATAAATGTTTAGTCTAGTGCCTAAATACATGAACTATTTGAGAGTGTAAATAAATGTGTGTGAGCAAGATCTTACCTTTCTGAAGCTCTGAGACCCTCGACATTCAACCACCCTGAGCACCCGACGCAGCTGGTGAGAACCCTGTGCAAGATGGCTATAATAGCGCGCACGCACACACACACACACACACACACACACACACACACACACACACACACACACACACACACACACACACACACACACACACACACACACACACACACACACCATTAGTATAAGGGAGTCCTGAAGAGCCACTGGAGTATATGGAAAATATTTCTTTTTTATTTATTTTATTTTTCTTTTTTTTGAGGGGGGGGGGGTCAGGAAAAACATTTCAAAGATGTTCTTTGAGTCCTTTTTTAATTTATCCAGCATTTGAAGCTACAGAGAGGCACTGAATGTTGAAATGTCAGCAGCTTAAATAAACTGTATTGGAGTCAAAATAATAACAGCACCTCTTCTGGTGGCCCACTGGATTGGACTGTGTTAGTATGAGCTTGGCTTCATATTGGATGCTGGAGTATGTTTAACAGTCTAGCACCAGCTGCTTGTTTTCAGTCAAAGAGCAACACTGACACCTGGTGGCCAATTAAAAACTCACACATTTCTTCACCTGCAGCGTTCAACAAGAGGTAGAAACAGAGGTACACCTGTTAACCGCCAACTGTGCCAGGATTTCAAAGACAAACACTTCCCATTGTTCATGAACGTACAAAAAAGACTAAACAACATGGACAGCAACTTAACATTCAAACCTGCTGAGTGAGGCTTAGCAGTGTGCAAACACAGCAGATAGATGTTTAAGTAGTTCTGATGGGAAAAAGAAAATCTGAAAGCACCAAACCAGCACTAACAAGACTAAAAAAAACATCCTTTTATTTCTGCACCCCAAGTCTCTGATAGAAAAACTGAAATATGAAGCTGAGGTCAAATGCATCTCTGCTACACAGATTAAGAGTGTCCTGCACGTCTGCTCTACCTCACTTTGTATACTTTGTGTTACAGTGAGAGAAAAAAGTCAAAATGTCCTGCCCAACATGGACAAAGAGGCATAAACAAAGAAAGAGATATTTTAAACAGCCTGCAAGACCACTGATAAAGTCTTGTAAAAACAAAGATTTAGACCAGTGATTCTCAAGTCCAGTCCTCGAGGCCCACTGTCCTGTATGTTTTGGATGTTTTCCTGTTCCAACACACCTGATTCAAATGATCAGCTCGTTAATAAGCCATTACAGAGCTTGATAACGAGCTGATTATTTGAATCAGGTGTGTTGGAGCAGGGAACCATATCTTTGTTGAACAACAGTGATTTTTTTTAATGACTGTATATGAGAATCTTAGCCTTTTATGCCAGTATGAAATGTGTATTATATCAGGCTAAATTCACCACTGCGCTCTCTATGTTTCAGCTCAGTGTTCATCTTTGAATGTGTGCACACTTTGACTTATAACTTAACTATAAATCTTGCCTGAGCTTTCTACACCTCTTCTGTGTTACAACCAAGATCTAAGTGTCCTGCACACTCGAAATATCCTGAGGACGTTTGTGTCCAGGGTCTGAACATTATCATGAATAGAAAAAAAAAACTACAACAATATGCACTATGAATGCTTTTCAATAAGCAGGACCTGAGACTGTCAGAAATAATCACAATGTGGCAAACAGAATTACCAGGATTTTTTTTGTTGTTGTCTCTATTTTTACCACAACAGATGTGGACACATGTGGATTTCTGTCCCAGATTTGTTGTTTGACAGTTTGCTTTTAGAACGTTTCTACTCCTCTTTAGACCCTGTCGTTCTCGTAAAAAGGTTTTCAAATCTTAGATTGCTTATATATATATAGAATAGGACTGATGGTGTTTGTGTTGTGTGTGTATGTTTATGTGTGTGTGTTTGTGTGCCATCCTTACCCTCTTTGAAGCAGACAAAGGTATGCACTCTGTAATGCAGCCTGCAGGAAGTAGCCCAGGTCCATGTCAGGAGGTGGAGGTAGCAGACTGGCTTTGGGGGTCTTCGAGTGGGGGGTAGAAACAGTCTGAAAACAACAACAACAACGATAGACTTAGTCTATATTCATTACTGAGCCTGGGTCATTTTATTACTGCTGCAGTATCAACATCGTCGGTTTTTTAGGTTTAAAAAAGGGATACGCTTTTTTTTTTTCTTTTTTTTCCCTCTTTTATTTATTTTATTTTTTCCTCTTTCTATGTATTCCCCTTTCATCCCGAAGTATATTTTATTATATATTTTATTATACACTGTTGAAGAAAATCAACAAAAAGAAAGTATCAAAAAATAAAATAAAAAAGGGATAAGCACTTACAAGTATTCATGTCTTGAAATGCATCTCTATGTCAAACGTTACTGTAACTATCCAAACACTCTTGTGGAAGCTTCTACATAATCTGAAAATCCACCTTATCGAGCTCCTGTAGGAAAGACAGTGCAGCGTCGCAGGCTCGAAGGAAACAGGACAGACTCTCTTCCTCTCTTTCAGACAGACGGACTCGAGACACTGAGGAGACAGCCTGGTGGTCTAGAGACAGACCTAGAACACAGAAAGAGAACACAGACCTGAGAACTGAACCTAATGCACACAGTTTCATTTGGGCTTCATGGGAAGCAAAGATCTGAACTTGACACAGGTGAGGGTGAGTTCTAGCTGTTCCTCTGTCCATGTGTGCAGGTGATCAGTAAGTAGGTCAAGTTATCAACATCTGAGTTTAAGTTAATCATATGAATCCCATAACAGTGTCTCATCAGTTCATTATCAATTAAAATCATTACTTAAAAATCTTAGACAAGAGGAAGGAAAGTGACTCCTGACCAAGGCTGGCTGTTTTATTCGTGTTTGAGTACTGTATGTTACTGATGATAATATTTTGTGGATGCACTCTCATATATTTTAATTTGGTACTAATGTATAAGACAGGTGGTTAGATGAGTCACTGATCTGCACTTTTTGCAGCTGAAATGCTGGAGATCCTTTATTCTTCTTCTCACACCTCCTGAGATGTGTTAAATAATTTTACCACCAAGGGGAGTCTGGGAATTTATGACAAAATGTATTTTCATCATGATTTTGCTCTCAAACACATGTGGAAACTTGATTAAAGAAGAGCTAAAAAACCTAGAACAAGCAACACTGGTGTAAAATGAACAATACTTTTTTTTTTGTTAATAATGGACTCTGTGTAAAATGTGTACTTGGGTCAGACCATGTCAATTATCCACATTGTGTGTGTGTTTTTGTTGGATGGTTTCAAGCTAATGCAAATCCCTAATAGATCGACTACAATAGGGAAGTGTGTATGGATGCTCTTGCATGAGAAATCTGTAACAAAGAGTTACTTCAGCTTTCACTGAAGTCACAAGAAAAAAATGAAAATAACTGCATTCACTTTTAATTTGCATCTTTTATGGTGGGCTCTGCTATCATAAAAAATAATCAGACATAATCAAACTGTACTAATCTAAACTGAACTGAGTCTTTATGACGGCTGTAAGTAGCTCTATGAGAGATGGCAATCTAAAAAACTCTAATCCCAGGGTTTAACACGACAAGTCTAATAAGTAAGCCTTTCAGGTTACTTATCAATTACACAGTTTTACTTTCTGGCCCTTCTTTCAACCATTTTCATTCAGTCTCTTAATGTACAATATACCAGAAGTAGATCCTATGTCAAAATAAAAGCACAATCTTACTGAGCAGGAAACTCAATAAACTTGATGCATGACGGAAGAAAAAAAATTATTAAATTAGAGCGTGAAAAACAAATGTTTTATGAGGCAATGTCTTCCTGAAAGAAGTTATAGTCAAACAGAGCTGGTTTTGTAGATTTATCAAACATTTAAACATCACTAGAAATGGATGATGGTATGTGAGTTAACTGTGTTTATTAAAGTTAATTGTGTAATGTATTGCTGCTTTTGCCTTTTCTCATTTTGACTGATTGTGCCATTTTAAGTTTTCCATAGTATATGCAATGTTTTACAGCCATAATAATGGTGAAGTATAAAGTCTGATACAGCCCTATTATCGATGAAACTAGACTGCTTGAACTTAAGAGTGTTAGTTCTACTGAATGGCAATTGTGCATTTAATAAAACCAGAAAATCATTTAAATGTATAGAACTGGGTAAAATACAAAAAGTCAATTAAAAAACTAACTGAAAAAGTGGGTAACACATTACAATCACCATATATTATAAATGATAAATAAACCATTTATAAATGGTGAGCAGATAGTTTAGTAATGTTTAATCATCATTTATAAATAGCATATAGACCACTACTAAATTGTAAATTTTTACAATTTTAAAAACATAACCCCAACTTAACAATAACCATCTAAGTAATGTTTATACGTGGTTTATAAACCACTTATTAATCATTTACAAAGTATTACAAATATCAGTTGCAACTTTGCAATAACCATATAAATAATGTTTATAGATGGTTTAAAAACCAAATATTAACCATTTTCAAAGTGCTACAGACACACATTTTAATCAGATGTTTTACAAACCCTATATAAACCTTTAATAAATAGTCCATTAATAATTCATTAAAATTATAAATAATTATTTCATTGCTTGTTAATAGTAAAGTAACTATTAACTTACATTAATAAACTATCTACTTGCCATTTATAAATTATGGTTATTGTAAAGTGTTACCAAAAAGTGTCTTGCATTATAATTCACTCAAGTCATTCCAAAAATGAAAGCGAAGGCATAAAAGGAAAACAACACTTGGTTAGATCATTTTTCCTACCAACAGAACACATTTGTACCAATTTTCTTTGCACATTTCCTCACACTGTGCCATGCAGACGGATGCTGGGCTAACACATAATCAATGGGGGAGAAGAGAGCAGGTCAGTTCCGGTCCAGATGCCAGCCCTGGAGTCTGTTACTGACTTATTGATGCAAATAAGCAGAATATTTCTGGACCACGGGAGGTCTGCGATGGACTGCAGCCTAGGCCAGACGCCAGCCTGATCAAATAAACAGAGAGCTGCCAATGGACAGACATCATCAGACAAATATTCAAGTCTGACTGCAGTCCCAAAACAACATGCAGCAGGAGATACAGAAAAATCCACCGGGGGAAGAGACACAATCCTCAAAGGATCTGAGCTGGCTCAGCATCAGAAACAATCAGAGGAAATCCAAATCTAAGACTCTCTGTCATAAAATCCTCCTCAGTTTTATGAGGTCATGTCCAATCATCAGGAAACAGGAAATTTAATGATCCAATTTGAGGGTTAATAGGATTATACAGACTGCACAGGACTACTGGAGTGATGCTCAGTGGACATGACCTTTGGCCTTTGATAATTCCAGTGCTCAATGACACAGAAAAAAACTTCAGATTGGAGATTTTTAACGACTATACAAAGAATATTTTCAAAGTGTATCTGAAGCAGTCTGAGCAGGAACAGTGTATAAAGATTGAAAATTTGAGTAACAGTCGATGTTTTTATCTAAAATGACTTTTAATCAGCATGTCTAACATCTTTAAGGCTGCAGGTAATCTGTTTGACCAAGAGCTTAATACTATCTAACTCTGACTTTGTCACATTTTAGACTTTATCTATCATGTCATTTTTAAACCTAATCCCATTTTTTTACATCTTTATAGTTTATAGATTTAAATGCATTATGTACACACTTTAATATATTAATATTAAATATTAATATTACATCAATATTGGACAAACAGCAACAGTGAAACAGGCTGTTATCTGATGGGTACAATTCAAATCTATCAAGGGAAGCCACAAAACAGCAGACAGTTTATCTACTTCACAGGGTAGAGGAGCTGCTGGCAAACCACTGCTGCAATTTGCTGGTTTGTCTGTGAAAATGTGTGATCTCATTGCTCCACTTTTGATTTTGAGTATGATCCTGATTACAGTCCTTAATGGGTTACTGATGTTGGTTTCTTTTTATCAGTCTCATGTCATTTTGTTCTTAAAAGGATATTCCGCAGTAAATTTAAGTTAGGGTCAAACACACTGTAACACAGAGTTAGGCAACCCCCTCGAGAGATGAATGTTGCCGACTGCTTGCTTTTTTAGTTACACCAACTTCAGCACTTGGTGATTGACTTATCAGGGCTCCCCCACAAACAAGCGGCTGCTGGAAGAGAGTGGGTGAGTTGTGTTTAGTCTCTTTGCTAAAGAAATTAGGCAAAGCTAAAAAGATGTTTGGTGGCTGATGCTGTGGCTGGGACCCTTTATGTACTGTTGATGAAGTTAGGTGCTGTTCTGAGCATTATTTGTGGCTATAGAGTGGCGTTTTGGTTGAGGATTGCATGTGGAGACGTAGACCACTGTGTATTGCTATCGTGCGGTCGTTACTAAAGTTGGTATAACTAAAGAAGCAAGCGGTCGGCAACATTCATCTCTCAAGGGGGTGTCTAACTCGGTGTTAGGGTGTGTTTGACCCTAACTTACCTGGAGTATTTCATTCATTGAGATCTTGGATGTGTGATTTCAGTGTTCCCTTCCTTTTTTAAGCAGTCTAGTGTGTCTGTTCAGTGCTTTGGTAGAAACATGACAGTAGAGGATGGGGGAATATGCCGAAAAGTTCCCATTATTATGTACCGTTATTGTAAAAGGCTCATTTTAGGTTAACAGTGGCCTCTGGTACCTTTGAAAAGAGTGTTTTAACTGCTATATCTTAAAAAATTAAATACAATCTTCTTCCTCATCAGCTAAATGATCTGTTTCTGTCAGTGTTGGGATCCTTTCTCTGAGAATAACAGTTTGAGTCTGTTGATGTCAAAAACAAGAACTTATAGTGGAGGGACTTTAAACAGGACAGGATGAAATTTCAACCTCTACCACCTGTTTCACTGCTGCAGGCTGTAGGAACCTGTTGGTGTAGCTCTGATTTGATCACTTGAAAAAAGAAAAAGAAGAAAGAATAATCTAAAAAAAAGCAGCAAACATTGGGATATAATGCTAGATCCACGGATACACAAATATTCTTAAAAACTGTAATTTTTTTGGCCTCATTTTCGAACTAATACTGACTTGGCTCTTTATTAAACACCCATACAAGCATGCCAGACCTTTGGGTGGCAATAATGTGTCATCACTCCAGTGAATCAAACACCACAGAAACACATGCATAGTGAGCATCTGAGGCAGTGATTTCAAACAGCAGTTACTGCCCAGCTAATAACCACTGAGTATGATATAATTATTCACCCCTGTGCCACAGTAGTACAAAAATTCCCAGGCACAAGTTGCAGTAATGATGGACGATATTTTCCTACAATGATTGTTTTTGCTGTCCACACCAGAACAAAATCAAGCTTTTTTAAAATATCCACCTTATAAAGTGGAAAACCTCTGTTATCAAAGACATAAAACTTTGTGATTTTTTAAAATTGGAGGCCAAACAAGATGAAGTGTTTTTAAAAATATCCCTGTTGGTGAGGGGGTGTGAAATACCTCAAAATCCTCTTAAAATCAAGTAAAACAAGGTAAGCAGCTTTACCTTCACTTATTTTCCCTGACAGTATGCAGGATTTGTTGGCTTACTGTCATCTAAAGCAGTTATTTCTCCGTGCAAATACGTGATGAACACACAGTGTTTTGACTGGGAATAACCATCAAGACACTCAATAACACAAACAAATTAGCAGATCTGCAGCCCCCCTGTGTTCTGCTTTATATAATTGCTGTTTTTGTAGATGTAGTTTATGTCATTTCACGGATATTGTTGTTTTTATACCCAAGACTGTGTGCATCTGCTCATTTATATTCAGTGTTCCTCCCTTATAGCAAAACAAATCTCTCAGCTGGACATCGATGTTCCACTGAAAGGTATTTCTCTTTAATCTCCAAGACGTGCTGAATACCTTTAATGACAAAAGCCTCAGCCAGCAGTCGTAGGTGGTACGTGGGTTGTATATCCTGCGTCAGCTCCTCCAGTCCCACCCTGGCACACATCCCCTGAGCGTCCCGGTATCGGCCCTGCACATAGTGAACTTTTGCCATCAGCAGCAGAGCCTCGTTCAGGTATCGGGGCTGGAGTAGAAATGAGGAAAAATAAGGCAATTAATTTGTGTAAGAAGCGTCCTGTGCTCTGTGTGCTTCTGTTTTTAGATGAACACTTATGCTGTACATTATACTGATACTGACTGTGAGACGGCCTCGACTCAGGACAGAGTTGAGATGCCCTTTAGCCCGGCACAGTTTGGGTTGGGTTTTATCCGTTAAAGGCGTGCAGCTCCGTAAGAGATCTATGTTTTCCTGAAGGCACTCCTCCAGAAGGGCCTCAGACATCAGCAGCATCCCGTAGTCGTCTGAGGAGGGGTCAGGATAGAATAACTGAGTTTGTCAGAGTCTATCTTAGCTGAGGGTCAAAAGTCATTATTTTCTGTGGCCAAAGCAAACCTCAGTGAGCCCATTTAAAATAACATTTCCCACCGACTCTGGGAGAGAAGCTCAAATATTCCTAAAGTAGAAGCAACAGTCTAGATTTCCCTCCTGCTCCCCTTAAATAGCTCTATATTATGACCACATGATAAGAACTGCTCGTTCAGTAAACCGAGTGGTTAACCTCGAATTTTGTGTACACACAGGCTGGATTAAATCTTCCTGTTTACCTTTTCCATTCTGTATGAGTGTGTGTGTGTATTCTGACGCTGACTCTGTGAGAGTGTTTATGTCCCGATATACGTCACATATCTGCCTGTTAGTTTTATCAGCACAGTCAAGGCTGCAGCGATCACTGTGGGGGAAGGTGAGGGAGAAACAGCAGGACGTTTCTCAGGCCAGAAATACAGAGAAAGCTCAGAGACGATTTTACAGAGCTGATGGTTTCAGACTTTTGGAAAAGTCAGCGCTGCTGTAAGACTCACCGCTCATCTTGATTGGTTTAAAATGTTTCTGCAACAACAGGACAGTGATTGTGTTTAGCGTCTAGGATTTGGCCTTATCACCTGTTGCAGATTTATTTTACATGAGCAGTTTTAAAGAGTGATAAAAAGCTTTGTTTGTAGCCTGCAGGTAGATACTGGGATGCAGCACAGGTGCATGGCAGCAGTAGCAATGAGCAGAGGGAGAAATTTCACAGCTTAAACGAGAGAGAAGATGTATTCCTAAAGTGACTGTGAGAATGACGCATGTTTAGTGTGAAATCAGCTTGAGTTGTCTGCTTTAACTAGCTCGCAGGTATCACTCCATTTATACTTCCTTTGGAGCTGATGTTTGCTTTTGTCATATTTTTTCCTCCCCACAAGTATCTAAAGTTACACTGACTTTCCTGAATAAATGTGAATAGCCAGCGCCCCCACAAACTGACCAACACTGTGAAGAGACCCTGTTATAAAGTTAGCATGCACCTGGATCACATAACTGTTTTTATTACAGTCTAGTCAGACTCAACTGGAGGCAAACATGTGTGACAACTTTACTATTTAAGAGATAATCCTTTAAAGTGAACTTGTGAAGTCATCCAATCATTTAAAGGTATATTCCGGCATAAAATTAATTTATCAAAATTAATCAAATGCTTGTTTGTAGCGAGGCCTCAGGCCAGTCCGTTACAGACTACAGCGAGGACACAGCTCAAGAAAGAACATTTATGATCATTACTTTATCATTTCCTTGAAGTAATAATCACCATATTAATCATTTTGCACTGCAGACGCTGCAGTTCTTCTACCTTGGCGTCTCAGTCTGATTGAATTTCCATGAAGAAAAGTTCATAAATGTTCTTCCTTGAGCTGCGTCACCCCACAGCAGTCCGTAATGGACTGGCCTGAGGTCTCGCTACAAACAAGCGACTGCTGGAAGAGAGTAGGTGATTTGTGATTAGTCTCTTTGCTAAAGAAATCAGGCAAAGTTAAAAAGATGTTAGGTGGTTAGTGCTATGGCGAGGACCCTATATGCACTGTTGATGGAGTTAGGTGCTGTTCTGAGCATTATCTGTGGCTACAGAGTGGCGTTTTGGTTAAGGTTCGTTTATGGCTCCTCAGACTGCTGTGTATTGTTGTCATGTGGTCGTTACTAAAGTTGGTATAAATAGAGAAGTAAGCAGTCTGCAACATTTATCTCTCAAGGGGGTGCCGGAATATCCCTTTAATATATGTTGTGATTTCCAAACATCATTACTCCAATCATAACTTAGTGAGCAATTAAGCATTACATGGACACTGATACTGTGGGAAGTTTCTGAAAGAAAAAAAACGTCACTTTTGTTAGCATTACATTCATCGCTGTTGTTCTTTGACGGCTAGATCATCGACCAAACTAGTGTGTTCTTCTTGGGCTGGCCATGACCAAACCTAGTGTGCACTGTGGGGGCCCTCCTGTGAATTTTTGCCCAGGGCCCCTACAAGCTTGAGAATCCTCACCAATCTCAGGAAATAAATATGAGTGTTTAGACTTAAATGCAAAGACAGCAAATCAAAGCATGTGAATCACTGTTCAAATTGTGTTATTTTTAAGAGTTATCCTCTGTCCTTCATCTGAAGAGGACAGGATAGTGGATAGAGCAGGAAACTGGAATAGAGAGAGGGAGGAGTGAGATGTGCTAAATAGAGTCACAGGCCATAATAATATTGATTTTATTTATTGTGTTTGTTTTTATTTGATTTTACTGTGCTTTATCTCATTTTATTTTTACCTCATCTATTGTGCTTGCATTGTGTAATTCATTGTATTTTTAGAAACCTTGTGTTTGCTTAAATCGTGCTATATAAATAAAATGGATTGGATTGGATTGGATAAGTGAACCCAGGTTGACTGCTTGAGGAAAACCCTTCCTATATGAGGTGTACATGTAGACAAAAAGGCCAGCTGCACCCCGAGTCGTTGATTTTTAACCCTTGATAAGGCAAAAAGCTCATCATAGTTTTGCATTATATGACGACAACCTGGGGTGGCTAAGCAGATTTCAAGAGGGGTCCATGCAACCCCCTGCCCGCACATCTGGACACAACAAACAGTTGTTAAAGAGATTTCTATATTTCTACATTAGCTTTTGTTTGACGGCTCTTTAAGTGTAAGTAAATGTGATGTTTTCCTCCTAAGAGGGAGGATGCCCCCTTAGATTTGAACTTGTCCACTGTCTCCTCACTTCCTGATGAATGGCCTGGTCTACATTTGAGTGATTCAGTATGTTTATGATTTAAAACCCGGAAGACAGCACTAAAACATTATGACCCCTTTTGAGCTTTAAAACTTGAACATGTCACAAAGGAATGCAGAGCCTTTTTACAGCCACACAAGAGATAAACCCTGAATAAAACAATTTTCTAAATTCATCTGCCATCAAAGCGCTCTTTCTCTTCTCCAAAAATGTGCAGCAGTAGTGCCTCAATCCTCCTGATTCACCCTTCTTTCCATGAATGCCTGATCAGCTGACGTGACTCACACACACGCGCACTGTACCAACACATTGATTTAACACTTCATTGCGTGTGCAAACTGTCCACCTGCACCATCAGCCAGCTGTGGGCACGATAACTGTTGACTTGCAGTATAGTCACCTGAACCCATATTTACTCTGCGTATGTGAGGGGTGGAGGCAGGTGCATTAGTGACTCAGCACAGAAATGTTTTATGAGGCACTAGATGAAAAGTGTGTTTGCATTGCTTTGAGCTTATGTGGAAGGATTTCAGGGCAGAGGCTGAAAGACACTGTAAAACGAGCAGGAGTGAGCGGTGTTAACAGTGAGAACGGAGGGTCTAACATCACTTGTGACCACTTTTAGGTTCAGTCATTCATTGTGTGAACTGTAAACTTGACATGAGGGATGTTTTACTGTTGTTCAGAAACCTCCTAATGACCCATGGTATGACCCAGTAGGACTAATGCAGAGACCTCAATCGTTTTTGGTTATCGCTCTTCTAAAAGTTAAATATTGCTGTAATACTTTTCCTTTGTGGACTAAACTTGTAGAGAAACACTTAACAGCTGTCCTCTATCTTGTTTTAAGTCCAGAGTCCAACTTGTGCACACTGTAAGAAAATAGTTAATGAAAACATCACATTCTTTCACAGTTTTAGGATTTTAAATCTGTAACGAATAAGGAACACTGTAAATTTGTATTTTAATTGCTGCTAGAAAATAGTTTCAACATGTTTTACTTTTTCTCGCAAAAAAAGCTCGAACTTCAGAAACAACTTCCTCTATCTGCTCTAAAAGAAAGTAAAACGCAAACTTTTGGTAGAAATCCCAACAAAATGAAACAGATACAATATGGCAACCAGCTCTATATCGATGTTAATATATTTAGAGTACGAGATATAACCGAGAAGCGACCCAAAACCTGCAGATGAACTCCCCCACCCCCCTGACTGACTCACCGTCCTCGTGGAAACGCGCAGCCTGCATCTGATCGATGATCGCCGGTATCCTGTCCCACTGACACTCGGCCCGGCAGCGCTCTACCTCCACCTCCATCCGGACCTGAGTGAAAGAAACCCGGGCTGCCATCGGAGCTCTGTCCCGGTGGTGGCTGTACTCCCCGGACACGATGGGAGTGACTGCAGACTGGAGGGAGAAATAAATGTGTAAGCTTACAGAGGAGGAGGAGGAGGGGAGTGGAGAGGGGTGTGAACTCTTACTACAGGCATGAAGGGTCAATAGATAACGCTATAATGTTAGTCTTTGTTTTATGGTTTAAGACTTTTTATTATTGTTATTATTATTTTTATTATTAAAGCACCTGTAAGGGATATTTAGTTAACAATGAAACAGCCTGTGATTAATAGGGATGCCTCTACCTGAAGCAGGTAGGACCACTTGTAAGAATGTGTAGTTAGCCTAGGGCTGGGCGATATGGGAAAAAGTTTATCACATATATTTTTTTCATAACAGTCGATATCAAGATATATCATGATATTAAAGATGAAAATTACCCGTGCTTATTGGTTGCATGTCTTTGGCAATACAATAAGCTTCTGCATCTGTGAGGTCTTTGTGTCTCTTCAACGTTTTGTCCAAAGGTGTTGCGCTAGAGGAAGCAGACTGAATAGTCGGATGTGTTGGCTGCACAGGTGCCATGGGCTCCTTGCCCCGCTCGGGGTTTGTGACATTTTGCATTGCGTGTGCTCTGCGGCCTGGCACTGCTTCAGGTGGTGAAAAAGATTTGAGGTATCCCCCGGTTTTGTGAGAACATGTACTCAACATAATTTGCAGTGCACATTCTCTGCTTCATGTCTGACCTCAAAAAACCAAAATACCTCCACGCCACGTCATCATCTGTTCAGCCTTCATCTGCATTTCTGCCAGGAGTAGCACCCATTTTCTTTTTTTCAGTGCTGTTGGCTTCACGTGTTTAAGTGCTATGGTTGCGTGTAGCTGCAGTCTGCTACTACACAGTTGTTTGCTACTTGGTTCTAGTTTAGCACGAGTACATGTTCCCTTTTTCATTGGCTATTTGTATAGTCTACCAAAACATGGCAGAATGCTGATTATTGAAAAGCATATTGACCATGTTTTATCATGGTATTGAGGGAAATTAATTTTTCGATATATATCGTTAACGTTTTATCGCCCAGCCCTAAGTTAGCCTATATAGTTATAGTTATTAAAATGGTCCAAACCCCTACTGGAGGTAAGTGCCATTAAAAGTGAGCTTTAAAAACAGACTTTGTTAAAATTTTACATGCCAAGACTCATTTAGTATGTTAAAATGTTCAAAAAATCAAGCTATTGTATTCCTATTGTATTCAACTGGACTTTTTGAAAACATTAGCCTGACTGAAATCACACTAAATTGAACATCTCAAAGTTGGACTGATACATCACAATGATAGGGGATAGATTTTCTCTGTCATGTATAAATCTTGATCAGATTGAAACTGGCCTAGGCGGTTTGAGCTGGAAGTTGAACAGCACAGATGCACTGATAGGAAGCCAGGTATTACAGGAAAATCTTGACAGAAGAAGAAAGGAAGTGGAAAAGCAAATATATTATACCGTACATACAAACACAGAGCTGTAAAAGTGACAGTGCAGTCATTGTTCTAAATTACTGTCTTGCCAACCCCATTCTGTTGATTGTTTTGATCAATCTGTCCACCAAGAGACCAAACACAAAGTTTCTCAATTTACAGAGGAGATATAAAGGAACTCAATAACCTGATGGTGAACCAGGACATTTTAGTAAAAACAGACTGAAACATTTCAGAATACAAACCCCAAATCAAGCTTAACCCTAACCAGGTCTGCTACTGCCATGATAAAACTATCATCTGTGATGATTTCCTATATCGAAACTCATAAACTGTGCTCCAAATCACAGTAGGGCTGCAGTCTGTGCAGGCAGCATTTGAAGCCTGAAGGTGTCACAGCAGTGTGAAGGCTGTCCCAAGTCAAAGGCTCCTTCAAATACAACCTGTCCTCCCTTTCCTAGGCCATACACTGCATCAGGTGTATCCTTCATGGACCTACTTATCCCTATCCCTATTCATTGCACACCTATGCAGTAGAGAGAGTGGACTCTCAAACTGATTAGTAATACACTGTGAAGTAATTGTATTTGGTTTTAACTCAGGAGTAAACTGTAGAAACGTTTTAAAATAAGAAAGATTTAAAATGTGAAATGATCTTTGAAATGTTGGATACGGTTTTGAGCTAATTACACCAACTGGGAGCTGATAAGCTTCTGTGGTGGGGTAACATTAGCCTGTTTAGCTAGCGTGCAGCTAACCATGTTGTCTGGTCTGGCCCCCCCCTCCCCCATGGTTTTAGACATTAAAAATAACTATGAAAGAACCATCAGTCTTTCTGTTGATAGTCGTCTTTGCTTTTGTGGGTATCACTTTCCGTTTGTTTCACAGACAGCCTGAAACTCCTCACAGAAGCTGTAATATACAACTCAATTTCAAGAACTCTGGAATGACTTATCGAATGTTTATAAAGCAAATTGTGATGATTTACAATTAAATATACGGCTATATACAAAACTTACATTTATACACAGATGAAGGGTTAAATAGTGCTCTGCTCTAACTCAGTATCAGGCTCTCTGTTCGCCACAAGATGACTTTGATCATTTACACGCACGCTTCATGAGCTGAAATTTATCTTAACCCCTGTCAAAACAAAACTCATAATGTTTGCAAACTCAATGATGAAACCTCCAAACCTGATATCTACCAGTATGTATCACACCATCTGATTTCCTGTTTTATAAGCTTCATAGTCAACAACTTACAGAGACATTCAAGTTGTGGCTGGACTTCAATTTCAGGAGTCAGTCATGTTCCTCTTTCACAGCAAATACACCTTTTTTGCTGCTAGTTTTATACCCCTGGTTAAGTGCAGTGCTGTTCAATGTTATGCATGCATTATTTGTGTGCCTTCACTCTCTAGATACAGTTCTGCATGGTGCTTTGAGGCTCATTACAAATCTAAAGTCCCTAACTTATCACTGCTCCCTATGCTAGTTGGCTGGCCTGCATCATCTACCTGTAGACTTAATCATCGTTGGCATGTCCTTATTTATAAGGCAATTATTTACTGACTTCCTTCCTATTTATGTAATTTTATTAATTTGAAAAATGCTGGAAGCTACAGTTTTTTCTCTGTGACCAGGTTACAAGACTTATTTTCACTTTCTGATCCCAGAGGGCGTGTAAAAATCGTGAAAGGGAGGTAAAAGAGCTCCTGCAGCCTGGAAAAAGTTTAAAGGTGTTGTAAGAGGATGCATCAGGCTGTAGATGCTTTGACTGATGACTCTCTGCTAAATGATCCAGGACACTGACATTTTGTTTTGTTTTGTTTTTTTAATCTCGAGCAAAAAGTTAAACCGTGGAATTGAATTGGTTTATGAACAGATGCTCCTTGTGAATTTGATGCCAGCAACAAGTTTCAAAAAAAGTAGGAACAAGAAAAAAAAACACTGAAAAAGTTCTGTAATGCTGAAACAAAATGTAGGCATGGGCTCAAAAACAAATCCAAAAGCCACCGCCCATGAACACAGTTCATATCTACACCCACAGTTGCAGGTTTAAACTGTACCATGCAAAGAGGAAACAATGTATAGACAGAAATAATGCCAACTTCTCTGGACCTAAACTCATTAGGATGTACTGGTAGGAGTTGGAAACCTGTCCTGGGTCTGACAAATCAAACTGCGACATTCCTTTTGGAAATAATGGACCACCCTGTGTCTTAAACTTCAACAGCATGACTTGTTATCAGCGTACAGCTGAAAAGCCAATATCTCTGGTGCTATGGGGCTAAGAGATCATGGTACGGGTAGCTTGCATATCTGGGAGGGCACCATTAACAACTTTAACACATTTTGGGGCAACCTCAAACTTTAGAGAAACTAAAATTCTACACTTGGCAACAATAGGGTGACATTTAACATTTAAAAACTGAGAACCAAGTTCACTTGGTTCCTTAGTTTTAAAACAGAAGTGATACAGCACAAAGGTAAAATTGTCCTGTCCTGACTTTTCTTTGAAACATGTTACAGGAAACAAAATTTTGTTGAGTTGAGGTTGAAGCAGCTATTCTAAGAAATGATTTTTATCTTGCAAAAGTGCCCTTTTATCACTACATAAACTCATTATTTTATCAATATGTTTATAATTGCAAGAATCTAAGACTGCTGATTGGTTATAAGCACCCTTGCAGAGCTTTAAACGTACTTTCATAAAAACACATGCTGTTTGTTTGTATATTCCTTGAAACAAGTGAGAGTTGTTGATCTGTAGCTGCACGGAGGAAAAGGAAGTGAGCCCTCCTCTAAGCAGACATGTCCTTAATCTCCCCGCTAACACTTTAACTGGATCAGGTTAAAGGCTTAAGAAGCGGCATTTTAAAGAAAGCTGCACTCTGCTGTGGCAAAGTGAGCAATCAAAACACACAATATTCATGCTCATTACATCAGCTTTCTTTTGTTGTAAGAACCATTCATACACTGAGTTCACTGCAGCGATACATTTGTATGTGTATGACATGTGCAGCAGCATTGGTATGATCATGCTTCCTCCCCTCCTCATTCACATACAGGCTAATTTCTCTGAGTTACTACATTTTCCTCTGCAGAGCATCAGAGGAAAATACAAACATTTCTTTAGGTTTTACTCTCTTGAACAACCTACAAACTGTGAAAAAGTGAAGGGAGAGCACATTCAGGAGTGGATCCACCACAAACACTGGGCATGAACACAGGGAGAGACAGGGGTCACTGACTACTGAGCTACTTTATGACAGAAAATCAACCTCGAGTCTCCTGAACAGAGATTTAGCGGCTTCATTCTCTCTCTGGAAACTTGACATTTCTTTGACACAAAGCTTCACTTATCCTCCTCTTGAGTGAACTCCAACACACAGCGTGCTCCTGAGTGTACTTTACATTTGACAGGGACTGAGTCACGCCCCCTACTGACGTCAAGAAAGACTAACCCCAAAGATGCTCTAATCTGACAAGAGAGTTCACACAACGAGATAAAGGCTGCTGCTGCTCCCATGAGGACTTTTGAAAAGCAGTGACTGTTACTTGCATCTAAAAAACTGCTCCTTAATGAGTTTATGGACTCAGTTTTCTCTTTCATTAAATTGTTATTATGAGGCATGCTTTTTATAAGAAAATAAATATCCATAGTATCCATAGGAGCAATGCTTTCTTCATCACATCAGTGTTCTTTGACCAAACATGATCCAAAACTTCATATGAAATCTTACTATGATACTCATACAAGCCCAGGGTAGGTACAGTCGCCATTGTTCTGTCAACCCAGTATTTTTGACAATATCATTGCAAATGTATCATAGAAGTAACCTTGGACTCTGCAGACACCATAGTAGAAGCAGGCATTTGTGCTATGGCACCACTATGGTAACAGTAGCATTATTTTGGTACTAGTACCATAGTCCAAACATGAGCTTATTTAAATTCTAACACAGCATTTAAACCACAGCGGTACCAAAGTACAAGCAGCAGTTACTACAATGGTGCATGTGCTGTGGTGTCAAAATTACATGGTATCTCACCATAAAATATGGTTTATTGTGAGATAAAAGTATCACAGTATTACTAATATACCAGTACATATGCCATAGTAGTGTCAAAAACACCCTGGCACATTTCATAATGATATACATAAAAATTCACTGCAGATACTAGATAATAGAAAAACTATTGCAAGAGCATACCTCTCACACAAAATATCTCCTCACCATGGCTCTCTCTATGCTGTTTTTGGGTTAGTCAGTGTTCGCTATGAAACAAAGCACTTCACAGACTTCATATGACTGATTTCCACCAGTGAGGAAATACATACCGACAGTTATTCTTCAGGAAGGAGTGATGCTTGTGTCTCTCCCCTGCTCAGTGACCCAGTCCCAGCCATGCTCGAAAGCTGCCAGGTATTCAGTCGTGCAGAAACCATGTATGAGATCATTGATGTACTTGGCTGCGGTGAGCCTGGTGCACTTTTCTCTGATAGCTCCAGGAATCTGCTAAGAACACAAACAAATGCCTTATTGGGTCATAAAACCTGGGCTCGTTTTGAAATTATATCACTGCAGTCCTCAGAGGGAACTTTGAATCATTACATTGTCAATTTTCCCTTTTACCTCAGATTCCTAATTTCAGAGGTTGACTTTTATACATCAGTCCATGGCGGCGCTTGGGTAGTGGGGTAAGATGAGCCATTTTTCATATTTTGTATCACTACATCAAGGCAATCATAGTTTTGTCTCTAACTAGTGTATCTGCATATATTTCAAGATGTTGTGCATCCCTGCAAACCAACAGAATGAGTGTAAACATAACTGTCTTGATAATATAGCATACAAAAAAAAGTGGTCTCCTATGGTCAATTTACCCCGTGTATGGGATAAGTTGAGCCGTATTCCTGGTACCCCCCACTCTCCAACCCAGCCCTCCCTCACCTTCTCTCTCCCTAAATAACACTCACTTCTTCACATTCATGTGTATTTTTATCTATTAAACACTATTCAACTGGTACAATGATTCATTTTAAACTTCTAAAAAGCTGTTTTGTAAAAAGCCATTTTAACACGAGGATGCTTCTAAGTGCACTTCGGAAGATTCAGAACATTCACAGCTGTATTTTTGAAAAGAAAAGTAACACAATCTGAACAATCAACAATCTGAACTAAAACTCTGATCCTCTCATCAGACTCCTTTACTTTCTCAGTTCAACTTACCCCAGAACTACTATTATGACTTTATTAGTCCTCTAAGCTAAAATGGTGGACTTTTATGCTAGGTTTTTGACTTCATGTTGTAGCTCATAGATACCACAATTGATGTATAAAACAAATTTAAAATGATCTTTTTTGGTCTGAACACAATTCTAATAAAACTTATGACAGACTAAATTCACTTTCAAGAGTGAAAAATGTTTTGTTTTTTTAGTAAATGTCTAACTCCTTCACCAATGTGCTTCTAATCTTCACAGACTCCATGAATTGATGCCCATCTCCTAAATATTTGGTCACATGATCAATTTCTTTTATCATTTTCAAGCAACAGGGGGTGGCTCAACTTACCCCACTCTCATATGAGAATCTTGGAACTTACCAGACATACAGCCACACAAGCAATTACTCCATATCGGTCAGGAGTAGATTGCATTGAAAATCTCGTTTCATTGTTTGTGGGGGACAGTCTGAGATGCAGTGGAAAAGGCTTGGTGTCAGTTACACACAAGGTGTAAACAAGACAGGGTTAATTTTACAGTTCGTGGGGATAAAATCTCAGGATCATCTCAGTGATCAATGAGTTTTGTCCCTGAAATATTACCCGAGGGGCTCCAGGGCCTATCATGCTTCTCAGGCACACAGGGCTTCATTTCTTGGTCGTGGCGTGTAGTTTCTGGTTATTTTGTTGACATTTTGACTGAACTTTTCCATCATGTCGGACGAGCAAGGCCGATTTCCCCCTCCTACTAATAAACTATCAAGATTTATGTCTCAGTCGGATCGATAATTGACCTAGCATGACATTAACATTGTACATGTCGAACAGAGTGAATCCAAACTCGAGAGTAGCCATCCACAGTGTTGTCGTTGTCGTGCAGTCAGGTACAGTGAACTATCTCGCTCTGTCTGTTTAATCTTCGAACATTTAAACCAATCAGGATCAGCTGTCGTGTCCAAGTGGGGCTACGGCAAGCCGTGTGGACCTGAAAGGTTGTGACTCATCAGTAGCGTTTCCAGTCGGCAGAGAAACCAACACTGCGATCTGTGAAAACAACTAATATACACGTGAGTATGGAAATATTTTTAATGTGAGTGTAGTTTTATTTTCCTCCCAGCATGGTTTGTGTGTTTTACAGGCCGTAGAATCTCCACACAGCCTGACATACGGCTTCAAGTTCGCATTTCTTATCACAGACTATCTTTTTCTGAGCATATGTCTCCGTTAACAGTTTGTTTTTCCTCATAGAAATGACTTCAGTGAACATCCCAACGCTGAGCATCTTTATAATATACATTTACAGGAGTCAGTAATTGCTCTCGATCATTTGTAATTTCATTGAACTATGTAAAAGGCTTGATTGTTGTGATGTTTAAAAAGCTTTAGTTTACAAACATGACAATGCTAATTTACCTTCTACAGGAACTACAGTGAACAACTGTAGCAACAGCAGCTTTAATAAGACAACAATGGGGGAACTGCTGAAAAAAAAAAAAAACTATAAGTGAAACGGATGTGGGCTGACTCAGAGTACTATGAAACCTGCATTTAGTATTCAATGTGATGTCCACCACAGCTTTTCAGAGTGCACACTGGTCTCTTACGAGTCTGTCTGTGTGTCTGTTTGTTTGCAGAATGAGGAGCAGCAGGTGTAGGTTACACTGGGGGGGACTTCTCCTCCTCCTCCTGTCCTGCTGTGTCTCTGTTCTCTCTCAGGCAGATCCCCAGACGGTTGTTGAATCTGCAGCTCATGTAACTGGTCATGGACATGGTCGCCTGGACAAAAACATGGTTCATGACAAAGAGTGAGTGGCATCTCTGCATGTAAATTGTGTAGGAGACAGTGGTGTAAGTTGAGCCAACCCCCGTTGCTTGAAAATGGTAAAAGAAATTGATCATGTGACCACCACTTTTTTTGACATGCTATATTATCAAGACAGTTCTGTTTACACTCATTCTGTTGGTTTGCAGGGATGCACAACATCTTGCATGTGCAGATACACTAGTTGGAGACAAAACTATGATTGCCTTGATGTAGTGATCCCAAATATGAAAAATGTCTCATCTTACCCCACTCTCCTCTACTTACCCCACTCTCCCTGTGGTTTTTTTGTCTTACAGCCACATCATCGAGCATTTAGAGGGGGTGATCGACAAACCGGAGAAAGACATGACCCCCCAGGAGCTCCAGCTGCACTACTTCAAGATGCACGATTATGATGGAAATAACCTGCTGGATGGGCTGGAGTTGGCTACTGCTATCACGCATGTACACAAAGAGGTTAGTATTTGTTGGCAGATGGTTTAGATGTGTCTTCTAGGTTTTAACATCCATACACATGATCATTTAAACTTAAAAAGTAAATTAACTAACTTAAATATCCACAAATATATCTAAAAATTAATGTGGGATTACTTGTGTAGCAGCCTGGGTGGGTTGTGTAGACTTTGTATGACTGATACTAATGAATAATTTGTATTGTTAGTGAAACACTGGTGTGTTTTGATTCTGGGTGTTTCTCAGGAGCGAGGAGACAGTTTCCAGCCAATGAAGGAGGAGGAGCTGATCGTTCTGATCGATGAGGTTCTGAGGGACGACGACAAAAACAACGACGGTTACATCGATTACGCAGAGTTCGCCAAATCCCTGGAGTGAAGCGTCATCTGAGTGCTTCTTCATGTTAACAACAACAACAACAGCGAGGGGGAATCTGCAGGAAGAAAAGTGAACTACAAAACCACTGTCGAATCAGTTTTTCAGCGAAGGCGATCAGAGTTATTGGTAATTATATGTGAAACTTATTTTTTAGAGTGATTAAGAAATCAAGAAAACAACAAGGAGGATAAATGACTCTGTTGTGCTCACACTCGCAATGACTCTTCTGCACCTTCATTTTCTGCAGATTCTTTGAAATTATCCTTTAAGGGTCAGTTCACACCCAAAAATCACACATCCACATTCTGATGAACAAGCCGCAAATTCAGCCAAAGCTGTCTGTAAGAGTTATGTAAGACAGCCTTTTTTCTTTCCTTATTTTTTAAATGATTTTGAGTGAATTGGCGCTTCATATTTAACACTTTGTAGAGTGTGTACTTTTAGTGGTGCTTCTAGTGGTTTTGTAGCATCTAAATAGAATGTCATCACTCTGAGTGCTGGAGTCAAACAGAAACACATTAACACAAACACACGGCTGCTGTGTGGTCCAAATGATTCATTTTCTGTCATCAAACATTTTCATCTCAAAGTTAAGTGCCCTTCAAGAGATGAAGTCTGAGTTGATAGAGGAGGGACTGAGGAGGTAAAAAAAAAAAACAACAAGACAGGAAGAGGTGTCATTTCACTACTTTGTGTCTCTTCCTTGCGTCTTGCTTGAGGACTGTACCATTGACCACATATAGAAACAAACATGTCTCCACCTGTTCCTGTGGTACAAAACCAGGCCTGACATGTTAGGTGACATTTTTGAAGCCAGAGTATGTGCAGTTGGAGCCTGGCTGGTGGAGTTTGATGGTTTGACCCTTCCTCCAAACACACATTTCATCTATCGATTCAAGCAGCAGAGACTCCTCAAGTTTGACAGACCTCTGTAACTGATCCATGTGTCGGTTTAAAGAGGCCTCTCACAGAAAAGAAAATTTTGTTGACTCTTATGTTCACGTTCGTCAGATTTCTCTCACGATTCCTACTTTACTCTGCTTATCCAGTGCACACCAAACAAAAGAAGCAGCATTTGTTTACAGAGCTCTTAATTGTGATTTTATTTTAACATCAAAAAACTGAGGACAAAATCTCAGAGCAAAAATAAAAATTGGAAACAAATCAGTACGATAAGATCAGATTATAAAGGCAGAAACCATGTTTGAGAAAAACTCGTATGGTTTAATAGTTTGATCCATCTCTCATATGTTAACATGGAGGAGGTGTGGTTTATGACTATACTCTGGCCAGGCAGTAGGGGGAGCTCTAAGTCTTCGGCTCTGTGTGGTCAATCTTTTCTACACTTTGAGCCCAGAATGTAGAAATTTTGATGTAAGTGGTCATCTTAAAGGAGGTTTGATCTGCAAACTGAATCTCAAGATGATAAATCTACTTTGGTCAAAGGTAATTGGCTAGAAAAAATTTGTGATTCATGAAACTAAATGTTATAATGGGACTGAAATGTTACATTTTTTTAGTTAAAAAAAGACAGCTCTGAAGCAGTAGCCTTCCTGCCTCCTCTTCCTCTTGATTGCTTTTTGTTTGTGTTTGAGGTATAAGGAATGAAGACAGAAGGAGAGTGAAGGAGGGAGTGGACATGAGAGAGGGCCTTGGTGCTGCTCATGTCAGCTCCTGAGGTTGTGTTCATAAACAAACAATGCAGTCACATCCTCTTCACATTTAGATACTTGACAGACGCGATGGAGTGAATGTAAGCGGTCTCAGACGGTTAATTCTCTGTCACTGGATAAACTCAAAGCACACTGGTTGTCTCCACTGGTTTCCAGTAAAGCACTTGTGATAAACCATTGAACATGTTTGCTTTCGCTGCCTTTAAACCTGACATGAATCAAACATGTCGTCTCTCAGAGAGTTGCTGAATCCATCTGTGATTTTTTTTTTGTTTTGTTTTATAAAGTTTGATTTCATATAAATGAACTCTATATTTTTGCCATCCAGTGTTAATTCTTCAATCACTTCAGGTTGATGAATGAAAGTATGTCATAACATAACAGACACAACTGTGTTGTCTCTGGGATGTGAAATATTAAAGACTGAAACAGAAACAGTTTGACTTGTTTTTATTTAAAGAACTACTTCTGTGGGTGATCTGTATTTATTAAAAGCACTTGAGGTTTTACAATAACAGAAACTCAAATCACAGCAAGTGTATTTAATCCATCACACTAATATAACTCACACTGGCCTGACAACCCCAGAAAAAACTCATATTCGAGGATAATTTTATGAAGATATCACACGCCAAAAATGGGAAAGAATTTTTGCTTGTTGTGTTGAAAGATATTTTTCTAATATGATCTTATGAACCTCTAATTTTGCTTCACTGTAACTCAAAATAAGATCTTTATGCAGACTTGCAGGGTCAGTGAGGCTTATTGTAAAGCTCCTGTGAGGAAGTGTTAAATTGTGTTATTTTGGCGCCCCCCTGTGGACACAGTTGTATCTATTTTTTTAATGGTGTTTTCCCAAGTAGAATCTTTTATTGTTGTCTTTGGATAGACAAACAATCATTGTGAATATTTGCTGTAGAAAATGTAAGCAAATGTTACTACAACTGTTAATACCATTGTATTTGACACCTATCCCCTGTCAACAGCTACAAGTGTTAGAAATTAAAAGTCTAATGAGATCTTGTTTCTTGGGTCACAAAGAGGCATCAATTTTTATTTTGGTGTTGTTGATAACCATCAAAAAAAAAGAAAACTCTTCATGGTAGCTTTAAGTGTGATGAGATATTGTAACCAACAACAACAACAACAACAACTTCAGACAGTGTACCGTACTTTGATCAGGGGTGGATTTCATTGAAACCATTTCCATTTGTTTCACTGCTGCAGGCTAAATCAAGCTACCAAAGCTAACTACAAACTTTTTTAGTGCCTTAAAGTCACTTACAGCGTAAGTTGTGGGATAAAACTGTAATACTATGAAGTTATCTGTAACTCTTTAGCTCCAGTGAGCGGGCGGCTCCGGAGGCTGTAGGGGGAACATGGAGGAGGGGATGTTGCTCCTCAGTGGGTTGAACCAGTCGTCGTGCTGCCGTGGGGCTGCTGCTGGTTGTGGACAGGGGCACTGGGGGACAGGGCCTGGGTGACGGGAATATGGGCCAGTGGGTATTATGGGGGTGAGGCGAGGGAGGTGAGTCAAGGGCTGGGGGTAGAACTGTCGGTTTATGCTGGACGGCTGGACATGAACACCTCCCAGCAGCCCCCTGTGACCGGACATCACACCCAGGGGGAGGATTTTCTGTGAGGTGCGCTCCTGCTTTCTCTGTTTGGCCCGTCTGTTCTGGAACCAAACCTGCAGAGGACATGTGAGATTATCTTATTGTAAATGGAAAAAAACAAAAAATCAACAAATGTAGTTTTTCTTGACACAGTTCTCCCTCTCATACTGTCAAAACATAAAATCCCAACTAGACAAGGGAGAAACTGAAGGACAAAAACTTGATCTCTGTAGGGGAGACCGGGGATGGTTGTCACACTTTTAACATTCTTATATATTTCTAGGAATCAATACATCATTTATAAACAAAATGTGTACCAGATGAAAGACCAAAGTCTCAGGTATGTATTGCTTATTTATGTCACTTTCATATCTTGTTTCAGTGCAAAGTTATAAGCAATCAAATAGAGAGTGTGAACACGTGACATGTTGCCCCACCGTCAGGTACTGCACTGCCATGTTCAGTTTTTCTCTTTGAAATTCCTGACCATATCTTATCGCCTTCTCCTCTCCTTTAAACTCTCTATGTTCATTTTAATTCCTTTTAAACATGTGACAACCAACCCCAAAATGACTGAGACATGTTGCCCCAAAGTACCATGTCTGCAAATTAAAGTTCTAACTTTAGTTAGTGTAAAACACAACAATGACTGAGGAATGACAGGATACCTTAATCTCTCCTCTAACAAGTCCACGTGTATCACTGCTTGGATTTTTATCTGGAATAAACTTATTTTAAAATATATAGTTTTTTTTTTTACTTTGGGTTGTGCAAAATGGTTACTTGGCGCTCATCTCAGCTCACAATATGCTCTTCTATTCTCAGACAGGACATAACCCCTGACCATATAAAGGAGGAAAACTAGTATTCCACTTTTTAGTTGCGCCCTCTGGTGGCAAATATAATTGCAGTGTGACAACTTATCCATGTGACAACAAGCCCCGATCTCCCCTACTTACAAAAAAAAAAAAAGCTAAGTTTAGGCCTTAAATTTTAATCTATAATTCTTTAATTGGATGTTTACAAATTTTCCAATGTGATAAGAGCAATCAATCAAAAAAGAGATAAAACTGTATCATGTAGCACAGTAAACCACATTCCTAAATCTGACAAAGAACACTGTGTGGACTTCTTCTGGACTCTGAGAAATTTTCAGAGTGAGAATTAAGATAACATTTTATCGTCTGTTTTCATGATCATTTGTCTTGCATGACAATCTTCACAATCACATCAACAATCATGTCACCTGATTCTCCCCTCTGCTGCTGAAAAAGTGTTTATGACTGTTGGGTACCCTAAAGAGCCCCTCTGATGGTCAAAGCTGGTACTATGCTTGCAGAACATTAACAGAACTGAAGGATACTCTGTATGGACCAGAAGAAAAGATGAAGGATCTCCTTACTGGTCCCCAAAGTCCCAAATCTTCTCAGAAAGTAGTAGTACACGAGTACCCATGTTTCTCACCTGTATGCGGGCCTCATTCAGCTTGGTGACCCGGGCCAGCTCCTCTCTATAGTAGATATCAGGGTACTGGTTTTGTGCGAAGGCCCCCTCCAGCTGCTCCAGCTGTTTGTGGCTGAAAGAGGTGCGGTGTCGTCTCCGGGCGGGGGAGGGGTGGAAACCTCTGCTGCTTCTCCTGCTGAGACCCACAGACACAGAGGTCTCGCACAGTGACCCCCTTCTCACAGAGTCTCCAATATCTGTTTTCAGGAGGAAGAAAAAGAGTTCATGCCCTGAAAAGATGCTGAATAGACTCAACACTTCCTCAGTGTTATAAAAAAAGTGTCGTTAATTTATTAAGGGGCATTTCACAGATGACTCTCTGAATAAAGGAGGATTACATGAGTTTCTGGTTCCCACTGCCATCGGGCAACCTGAGAGCGAGTGAGCTTTAGCTGATGAAGGCAAGCTGGTGAGAAAAAGATACCAGAACCTGCAGGATTACACTGAGATTACCAAACAAAGTGACTAATTTGACAAATTGGTGGCCTGAGCAGACCTTTGGTTCACACCATGAATGATGGACGAGACACAGGAGGAGGTTTCTTTCAAACTTTAGACAAGGTGAAATGATGAATTTAATGATCGCCACCTTTCCTTTTTTTTTTTCACCCCTAAAACTCACTTTATCAACTTTAATTTGAAGTTATAGTTTAATAAGATTACATGGAATAAAGCAGGGAAATCTAATGATATTACTCAAATAACTAAGGTAGAGTACAAGTTCAACACTGAGATTATTCCTGCCTGTCAAACTGCGCTGAAAAAAGTTTACAAAGAAATGAAAAGTGAAACCCCTTCATTCAGCCCACAGTCAAATTTGTTGTTTGTTTTTGTGTTGGTTAAATCTGTGTCTCGTTTCAGTATTTAAGAAATTAGAAGTTTTTATATACTGAAATTATATTTCCTCTAAAAACCTAAACTAATAAGTTCTAGACCACAGTGCAACACTTAAAAAACACTTTTGGGGGAAAGCCGGAAAACCAGTTCTGCTGTAAAATGATTGTATAAATATTTTAATATTCTAAATAATGAATATTGTAGAGCTGACTCCATACCAATAATAGTATAATCAGATATTCTTAAGGGTATTTTTTAGACTGACCTGCTGTAGAGCTGACCGTCATCATATCAGAATAAACCTCTGGACACTCCTGCTGACTTCTCACTGCATCTCCTGCTGCCTTCACCTGAGCCATCGCTGCAGGTATGACCTCTAACTGGACCACCTGGACTCTCTGATCCATCAAATAGAGTCACATGACGGTTCTGGGTCCCACCCACATGGTCTACCTTTATCTAATTTGATTCAAAGATCAGTCCAAGGCCTACATCAGTGTTTTTAAGGCTGGTTTTATGGTAAACTGTTTTTAGTTATTCAAGATGAGAGGACTTTTTGGAAGTAATATAGGTTCTTTGAGTGAACTCTGTGTTTTTCTTCTAATGGCCTTGAGGTTCCCAACCAAAAAAAACTCACAAAATTATTCTGAAGAGTTGTGAAAAATATTGAAGGCTTTGCAGATAGACCCGTGTGTTTTCAGCCTGAACCTGTTGCTCTTTTAAAAGTGTTTTTTTTCTCTCTCTGCCAAAGTAGCAAGATGACATAAGTCTTAAAACAGATTGTCAGCATATTTTTGGTCATGTTCATGTGCATCATGGATTCTGTAAGAGCTGGGATGGCAGCATAATGTTGATTAGAGCAGAATCTGATTGTTTGCTAATCATTTAAAACCTGTGTTTTTTAAAATAGAGGTGGACAGGACAGATTAAGAACAAGACAGGGATTGTGGGAGTATGGAAAGAGTAATAATAATAATAATAATAATAATAATAATAATAATAATAATAATAATATTGAACAAGCACCTTTAAAAACAAGGGTTTTTGAGGTGCTTTGGCATTCAAGCGTGGACATACAGTACATGAGAAGAAACAAAGGAAGAGTAGACAAATTTACAGAACAGCTCAATAAAAAAAATTGAAATAAAAATAACAAAGACCCACCAAGAGGAGCAATGGACACCATCATTAGCCAAACAAGACATAATGTAAGACCTAAAAACCTGAAGCACCACAAGAACTCATTCAATATGAAGTGAGTAAGGAGGACATGCACCTGTTGAATTGAGAATGAAGCCTCGGACCTGCACCACAAAGACTATGATCTTCCTTTATGAGGCGTCTGCTGTACCAAGTGAGCTGAACCAGTACTCCAGGGGCCTGTTCTACGAAGCAGGTTCAACTTAGCGAGGTAGGCTTGGAGCTACCTCGCTCAACTTAGCGCGGTAGCCAGCGGTCTCGCTACACGGTTTTACGACGCTGTTTATCAACCTCATAAGTGGATCCAGCTCTGCTATGAGCGCGTGCACACATATAAGGCGGAGCCCGCCGCATCTGACCAATCGCGAACATGGATCAGTCTGGAGCGTCAGAGCAGGCTGGAGAGTGAAGGACCGCGGACTTTACAAACGAGGAACAGGAGACGATCATGAGAAAGTATGAAGAATTGAAAGCTATCATAAACCTCAAAAGCAACACCGTCGCCGCTACAAAAGCACGGAGGGAATGCTGGCAGAAAAGTAATCTTTGATGTCATTATCACCCTGAAATAGCACTGTTCAACATGCGCTTTTAACTAAGGTGACAGTCCCCGAATTGGATGATCTGTCCCCGGCTAAAGCTGTCCCCGAAAATGTCCCTGATTTAAGCGTTTCATGAATGAGAACAAAAATGTTGCATGTGGGCAAGAACAACGGTTGTTACAGTGGGTAGGAAGCACAAGTAAGCAGTCCTGAACAACAGTATTTACGGGGTTATTATAAGGGGCGTGCGCTGCTACTAAATAGTACCGAGATGTTGTCTGTGATCGCGCAGCTCATGCCCATTCATTCCCAAGATGAATCATTCATTTGTTCATTCCTATCGTGTTTACATGTTTTGTGTAATATGTCGGCCATATAAGCCTTTCATAAAGGTGGTCATCCGGAGAAAACTCTCCCTGAAAACTCTCGCGAGCCGGAGTGCTCCTCCTCGGACAATGCGAGCACCGAGGTCTACAGGATCCTCCAAGAACGGACAAGCCGTTTTTCGAGAGAGCTCATTGGTCAGTGGGCGGGGTTTTTATACTCGGTGAGTTCAATCTGGAACTTAACCTGCCCCGGAGCAGTTTAGCCGTTCAGCGTATGTTGCTATGGAGACTCGCCTCGCTAAGAGGTGAACCCGCGTCGTAGAACAGGAAACCCCGAACTTATCCTCAAAGTTACCTCGCTAAGCAGTAATCCTGCTTCGTAGAACAGGCCCCAGTTTGCTGTGTTACATTTCCAAAGGAAGTGCTGAAAACTTGGAGAATGGAGATATGATCTCAGAGCAGAGGTTCTCTAGTCCAGTCCTCGAGCCCCCACTGTCCTGCATGTTTTGGATGTTTCCCTGCTCCAACACACCTGATTCAAATGATCAGCTCGTTATTAAGCCATTCCAGAGCTTGATAACGAGCTAATCATTTGAATCAGGTGTGTTGGAGCAGGGAAACATCCAAAACATGCAGGACAGTGGGCCTCGAGGACTTGACTTGAGAACCACTGGTAAAGAGGAAAATGGCAACCTTATTATAGAGAAGTGTTTTTTTCTTATGTCAGATTTTCAAAGTTTGAGTGAGAAAAAATGGTGTTTGAGAATAAGAGTTAATCATTCAGGACAGACAGGTTTCAAAAGATATAACTGACCTGGTGAGTTTGTTTAAACCTACAAGGTGAAATACTAAATGCATGCCTAAAAAACACCAAAAATATGTATTTTTCAATAAATTTGGCCTGACAGTTTTGTGACACTTTGATGCAGTTAAATAAAACTTTTATGTCAATGTCATTTTTAATGGGTGCACGCAGAATACAACAGTTAATTGATAATCAACCTGGTCAGTGTATTTTATAACCTGTTATCTTGTGGAATAAAAATAGTAATGTTTTTTTCTTGATGTCTATGGCTTGATTTACTTGAGTGATTTTCCTCTTTTATTTTTTGCACATTTTTTCCAGTTTGTGTTTATTTATTAACAACTGAATTATACCGAGGCTGAGAGGAGAAAGTAATCTGATATTGGTTGTTAAAACACTTGAAAGAAAATCCATTAATGTGAGAAATTTTCATCCACTACACCTTAAAAGCAGATCTATAAAATGTTAAGAATTCCAAACTGATTTAATCTTGATAATTTAGATAAAACAATTACACTAAATTGATTTTTTTCATCTGTTGAGATGCAGTGCCCTGTGCGACCAGCAAGTGGCTCTGTCACATCAGCCTATATTAAAGCAGAATCCTCCTTAAACAGGGGGTGGGTGTGTGAGACCCCACAGCTGAGTCCACTCCCTGGTTTGCCACAAACACAACTAATCAGGTCACTCCCCGCGTGTGCTCAGCTGCAGATTGACTGACACCACCACCCCTAGTCGGCCAGATTAACTCATCTGATCCCTGAGTGTCACCTCGCAGGACCTCAGCTGGTATCAGCACTTCCCAGGATACGAAAACTGAGTCCAGACAGACACTCAGGGGGATGATTTCTGAGCTGGTTGGAGGAAGAGACTCACGATCGCCCACCTTAGCTCTGAGTCATGACCTCTTCATCAGCATTCCAATAAGACAGTAACTCATCATGGTCTATATGTCTAACAATGCTACAAGCTCCTGTGTGTAGTATACCTAGAAATCTCTGCTGGGCTTATGAGGTTTTACACTGAGGTAACCAACCTGATGTCACCCAGTGGTTTACTGACCACTTCTTACCAGTCTTGTGTTTTTAAAGCCACAAGTGACCATATTTAGACGGGATCATATTTTGGAGACGGGTGAGGAGTTAGCAAACACCTGTCTGAAGAATCCATGCCTTAAAGTTAACCAACCAGTTAGTCTTCTTAACCCTACAGCCAGCTGTCTAATTGCAGGGTAACGCCAACAACAATCCTGACTCCACTGCTCTTGAAACCATGAATAAATCAGTGTATCGCTAACACTGAAGCAGTTTTGGTGAGCACCAACACTGACACATGCTCAATGAAGAATGTGATACTCTGTGCTTGTTTGAGGCTCATTGTACCTTCAGCCTTTGTCTTAAGTTGGAAAATTTAATAGATTTTGATTCAACATATAAAATCCAACAGTTTTTTGCTTTTCTTTTGATGTAATACTTGAGCTCCTCACGAGGACGCTTTATTTGTTTTGCCTAACGGTTATTTCACTGACCGGACCTTAAACACACCAGAATGTAACCTTAGCTGTGTCCCCATCTTATTTGAAGACTGAATGTGTTGGAGGATGTCCCATTTCGAAGGCTGCACCGGGTGCATCCTTTCAAAAATTTGAAATAGTCTAACGTTAATGGTGATACTCAAGTTACATGACACTACTATCTATTTAGCCCAGTAGCTGTGTGTTACTGGGCAGCGAGGATGGTACTTTATGAAGCCAGCGTAAGGGCCAGAAAGACTGGTGACGTAAATCTTCTGAAGGGTAGCAGCTGAGTTTAGCCTGACTGCTCTTTACAGGTGATGGCTGAATCCTTCGAGGGTTGAAGCCCCTGGATTGGGACACAGCTCATATGTCACTTTGTTTATTTAGCTAATTAGCTTTTATTCTGCTGGTTTTCAACACTGGATTTCTATACTTCTGATTCCACAACAGAAAGACACATGCTTTTAAGTCTGGTAGAAATGCCTGGTTGTGTTAAATTGCGTTGCATTGCGTTAATTTCAGAAACAGTTCAATAGTATGATGGAAGAATCCTATCTTGTGAACAATCCTTATTGCTCTCTTTTGCATAATATAAATAGGTTGTAAATTAGTTTTGTATATATTTCCCCAGACTTCTATGCAACATGTCAGATCTAGTAATATAAGTGTATTGTATAATAAGTATAATGTTTTATGGTTTAGTGCGTGTCTTGTCCTCCCCAAAATGCCGATACTCCTACAGCTTGCCCAATGATCTTAAACAAAGTAAAACTATTGCACAGTTGAAAAGTAAATTAAAGCAGAGTATGATTGAAAAAAAAAAAAAAAAAAAATATATATATATATATTATAAAGGATTAGTTATATATTAATGCTAGACTTTGTAGCTTTGGTTATTTTTTGGCAACATCCGCAATTACAAGACATGAGAAGGAAGAGGATGAAATGAACAGGAAGGAATGAGGGTAGGTACATATAAGCTAAACAGCTTCAACCTACTCCTTTTCAATCTCCCAAAAATATGGAATTCC